TGTGTGTGTGTGTGTGTGTGTGTGTGTGTGTGTGTGTGTGTGTGTGTTCGTTCCTAGGAATAGGTTCTTGACAAATCGTTAATTGACCATGTAGTTCCACTTAATAAGAACACATCCCTAACGAATCAGGCCTACATTTGCCTCTTTTCTAATCTCTGCCTAAATATCCTGAGGGCAAGTTAATCCACTCAACTTTCAAAGTCCACCCTGTTGCTCACGCTGTCCTGACTGGAGAGGACCTCATATGGCCCACTATCTTAATGTGACTCTTGCTAGGCTTCACTTTACAAATTTTACATCACTTTGTAGCTACTTGTACATTTAAGTAGTATAGCAAACACATTATTTAAGAGTATGCTGAATATAATCTTTGCATTATGCAATAATACAGTAATACTCTCCCGAGGTTACTTGAAGCCTACAGGATAATTTATCCCACAACAAATGGCACAAAATTGAACAGCTCGTGTCTATTTTGTCTGCTTTCATGTTTCATCTCCTCTTTTGCTGCCAGTCTGTCAGTTCTCAATGCTGTCAGTATTGCCTATTTCTAAGCAGTCCCCCTTGCTCAAGCCTTCTCTGCTCAATTTATTGTTTCCAATCCACTGTGTCCTGGACAGATCCTCTAGTTCAATCCTAAATGTAGCATAAAGCAAAAGAGAACATAATTTGACAGGCTAATTCCTCTTTCACTAAAACAAAATTATTATGCCATCATTTCCAGTGGTTAAAACAGAAGTCACATTTATAACATGAAAATGAATTTCTACTATTCACAATTTTTTTTTTTTAAATACTAGTGTCAATGGCTACAAACCTGTTCGATTGGTAGGCCTTGCAGACTGTGAGTCAGGAGAAGTCAGACTTTGTCTCCTTCCAACTTCATCAGAAGGAGAGGTTGGTAAGGAAGATATAGGTGGAGTCTGTGCACGTCGAGTGGGAAGGACAGTGGTAGTTGGATAACTGGAGAACATTTGCCTTTAAAAGAACCAAAATGGCATGATATGTTTACTCCAACTATAAAAGTAACAAATTCCTTTGTAAAACCATTGGGTAAATACAGTAAGATAGAAAAATCCAATGATACCCCCTTCTCTAAATCTATATGGAGAGTTGAGTAGACAATGAAAAATAGAAAGAAGTTAGCTACATACTAGCAAAGAAGACTAGGACTAAAATAAAAGCCCAAGCAGCCTATCTTTTAATTACCTTATGTCATGGTGGGGGAGCAAGCACATAGCAAAAGGCACTTCCATTTAAAATGCCATAAAACTGAAATATGTGAGTGCATTTATGCACAAAATAGACTTTCTTCTAATTTCTAAAAAATATATTTGATATAGGGGAGAAAGATTAAATAGAAGATTTATGTCAAAGCAACTTTGCAAACTGCTACATGAATGTAAAATGTATTTAATTCTCTTTAACTACAAGAAGAAGGTAGGTGGCACAATGGATAGAGTGTGGGACCTGGAGTCAAGAAGATCTGAGTTCAAATGTTGCCTTAGGCACTTACTGGCTTATGTGACCCTGAGAGAATCACTTAACCTCTATCTGCTTCAGTTTGCTTGTCTGTAGAATGGAAATAAAAATAGTACCCACTTTTCAAAGTTCTTTGAAGATAAACTGAGAAATATTTGTAAAGCACTATTTAAGTGCTAGCTATTTAAATACCCCTTCAGACCATCCTTTCCTTTCTTCCTTATTAGGCAAAAGTATCACAAAGAACTGATTCCCCAAATGAAAAACTACGGAAGTAGGCAGATGATATAGCCAGAAGTGGGAGTTGGGTCAGGATAGACAAGTATGGGTAATGTATTGAGTGTTAGGCAGAGTAAAAGAATCAAGAACAAGGAAGGCAAGATAAGATAAAGGGTCAATAGCCACCACAACAATGATGAGACATCTCTTTCTCCTGGGGTTCTGCTAAGCAGAGCAAAGAGAATTTCCCCGGCAAATCCTAATATAAAATAGACTACCAGGGAGAGAATATTAATCTGACAGGAAGGGGGTGGAAAAGGGGTAGGGGTTTGGGGAAGGAAGAAGAAAAAAGCCACTCCAGTTCTCCTACCTCAAGCGCTAGTTAAATGGTTAAATCCTTTTAGCAAAGGATTTAATTTCATACACAGATAACAGAGCAAAACTGAAGCCAATATTTAAACAAGCAGCCATCAAGTCCTCCACTTCTAAATACCCTGATATTCCTAATGCACTTCAGCCACTCAGCAGAACAGTCTATAACTAAAGTTTTACTATCACTCAAAACTGTCCAACTTTCCAAATGCACAGCTTGAATGACCATTTTTCACTCTCTCATCTCTAAGCCTGCCTTCACTCCTTTCATACCAAGACCTCATCCATTGAGTGGCCTTGACCACTTAACTCTCACCTCAATCTCTGGGATTCCCAACCCAGTAACCTTGTGCCATGGTTTTGGTCAGATCTGTGACCTCACTGGTCAGAAGGAGCTTCCATTGAGAAAGCTCACACTACAAACATCTGCAATGATAACTGCAAGGGGTAGGGAGGACATTACATGACTTGGCCCAGGATCACACAGCTGATACATGTCAGAGGAAGGACTTGAATCTACATCTTATCTCCAAAACCATCACTCTATCCACTACACAAACTGAACCTATGCAGAGCTGCCACTTCCTGAAGACTTAGTTAACTAAGTTCTGGCCTCATTTTCTTCCTCACTCAGGACTGCTCTGATACACAAGCACCTACTTCTCTGTCCTAAAACACTTCATTCTCCTGACTTTCAACAAATTCTACCCTACCTCCCAAAGCACAAGGTTTAACTTCTACCTATCAGGTCTAGCTCCCAAACTAATGACCATTTTTGGAAGAAGATACAAAAGAACAATTGAATCCACTACAAATTTACTATAATCTCAGATTAGCTCTGATAAAAAAAAAAGTGAAAATCACAAACAATCCAAAACCTAGTTCAGAGTAGTACTTCACTCTTTTCTCACTGACTCTATTAGACTCTCCATTTCTGTTCCAAACTTCCTTTTTTACTCCTTGAGACTTATCTCTTTTCCTTTATACTGTTAGCAAATGATCTCAACTTGTACTCTGTTGAGAAGATTGGTACTCTGTTGAGAAGATTGAGGACACTTGGTTTGAACTTCCTTAGTTTCCCTCTTCCACTCTAAAGTGCTTAAAGTCCTCACCCATGGTCTCCTGCTACTTCCCAATCCCTGGGAAAGAGGTGGTATTGATCTGTTCACCTCAAAGTTCCACTGAATTCAAATTCAATGTATCTAGAACAAAACTCATTTCCCTCAAAATCCTTCTCCTTCTTGAAGTATTTGTGTTGATGGCACCATCACACTTCAAGTCACCATAGACTGATAATTTCAATCATCTTCAACTCTTTCCTTTCTCTCATATCATGCATCTCCAGTTGATACAAATGAGTTTTTAATGAAAAACATAGGAGACCCGGTAATTTCTATTTCCACAACCTCTCTCATATAGTCAACAAGCATTTAAGTGTCTACTATGTGCCAAGCACCTCAACTGAGCACTAGGGATACAAGAAAAGCTAAAAAATAAACAAAACTCAAGGAGCTCAAGAGGAAGAGAATATGCAAACAACTATGCACAAATAAGATGTATACAAGATAAACTAGAGATAATCAATGGAGGGAAGATACCAACATTCCCTTCTTTCCATTTACATTGCAACATCCCTAACTCAGGCTCTCAACTTCCCTCACTGAAATGAATACAGAGCTTCCTAGCTGATCTTTCTACTTCCAAACTATTCATTCTTTAATCCATTCTTTCATCACAACCAAAATAATTTTCCTGAAGAGAGATCAAGAAGATGAGGATTGAATCATTAAATTTGGCAATAAAGAATTCATTGGTAACTTTGAAGAGGGTCATTTCAATTAAATAATGGGTTTGTTGAAAGCCAGATTGTAGAAGTGTTAGAAGAGAGTGAGGAGAGTTAGGTTGGAGGTTCTCAGGTATGTATTTGGAAGCAGGGAAGGAGTCAACAGGGAAGGAAAGATTTAAAGATTTACAGATAGAATAGGGATAACAACTGAAGCAACATCTGCTGGAGAAGACAGCAGTGGATGGGATCAAGGGTACATGTAAAGGGGTTTGCCTTGGCAGAGAGAAAGGATTCCTTTTCATGCCAGATAAGAGACATCTGAGTGATATCAAATGAGAAAGACTGGAGAAGGTGATAGATTTCTTGCTTCCTCATTTTTTACATCCTCAAAGCTTGGCAGAGTGCCTGTTACGTACTAAGAGCTTAATAAATGCCTTGACATTCACTCATTCACCCCAATAGATCATAAGTACCTCAAAATTAAGTTTTATCTTATCTGTCTTTGCATTCCCACAACAGAACAGGGAGTGGATAGACCTGTGATTTCCCTTATACAGAAAACTTCTAGGTGAACAAGCTCCCTCTCCTTTCTCTGCAGCTCACAGTGTTACAGAGCTACCCAAAATACTGAAAAGTTAAATGACTATTCCAGAGTTACACAGGTAGTATATGTCAAAAGATGGGATTTGAACCCAAGGCTTCCTGGCTCCCAAACTGGTTCTTTATTTACTACACCTCAGCTACACTTGAACAAAGCAGCTACTTAATAAATGTTTAAATTGAACCAACAATGTTTGGAAAGTCACTTAACCTCTGGTTCTCAGTTTCCCCAACTGTAAAGTGAAGAGGGCAGAAGGATATCAGATTATCTCTAAAATATCCTCTCATTACTGAAATTTTTTAATTCTACAATTTAGAATTTAGCCAAGTATACTTTCCCAAGAGAAAATAACCTATATGATTCAGAACTAAGTGTATCAGCTGTATACATGTTAGAAGTTACATTTTCTACCTGAGAAGACTAAGTGGCATAACCCCTGGTGATTCCGAGGCAGGTACCGTCTCAGTATCAGTTACGGGGGTAGTCGCTGTAGTTGTATCCTCCAAAGAGCTGCTCATAAAAGATGTGGTACTGGAAGCTGAAGGACTGGTGGTAACTGGTGTCTGTGCCTGCTGGGTTTGATCGCCTTCTTCTGTCTGTTGATCAACTTCTAGAAAATAAGTATTTTATAAAAGACATGAGGAAACAATATTTTCAAAAGTGACAATGAGCAGGAGAAACGGCAACTTATTTCAAATTTTAAGTTGTTGAAAAGTTCTTAACATACCACTTACTAAAAGTATAAGCTATTAATAAATATTCAAAGAAAAATGCATGTTGTATTGACCTGAACCTTTTTAAACTATAACTTGTATTCTATACCATGCACACATTAATGTATAAAACACTTTATAATAGTATACTGGCTTTTTTAAAAGGAGATTTTCTTCAATAAAATCATCTAGTTTTTTGCATGAGTTGGTAGATGTTTTAAAGATGTCTGACTCAACTATATTTGACTGTGTTTCCAGGCATTCTGATTTAGTCTCGCATTTTACTCTACAAACAAAAAATGAAGACATATAAAGGTCATAAGGCTATAAAAGCTAGATTGAAGCTATATATTCTACATAAAAATTAAGGGTGTTTCAATAGTTCCAATCTTTTTTTTTCCTATTTTCCCCCCATTATCTAAGCAAGGGGCAATTATGAACTCAATCCCACCTCTATGCCCATCCTCCAAGGCTGGAGTGCATTCCTTCTGAGCTCACCTCCATCTTAAAGAATCCCTTTCTTCTTTCAAGACTCACGCTTACTGACTGATGAACTGTGTGTGGTTTTGTACAACTAAAATAACTTTTGCCATATCAATAGGGTTGTTCTATGACGAATAATTTCAATGGAGTTTCTATGTCACCATTTCATCATCAAGTAGCACATGGTACCAAGTGAAACTACTACAGTGTGGCACACTGGAAAGAGCACTGAAATTGGAATAAGGAGACCCCCCGATTTCTAGTTTTGACTGTCACCAAGTAGGAATGTAACCTTGAATGTAACTGACTTCCTCTCTCTTGGCTTCAGTTTCACCATCTGTAAAATGAAGGTGCTAGATTAGATTTCTCAGGTCTTGTCCCACCTCTAAAATCTAGGAATATGTATGGAGATCTTTCCCCACGTACTTCCTTAAGCTATAATCTCCAACTTAAAAGACTCAATATTATTTTATAATTCATCTATGAAAGTGATATCTGACAGCCTTATAAACACAATCCTGTGTTAGTTTTGATATGTTACAGCTAATGAAAATAAAATCAAATTTATCTGAGTTGTAAATAGTATACTTTATATTAAAATCAAATCATTAAATAACAGTTCTTTCTGCAACATGCTAAATTTCAGTTTTCCCAAATGAAATTTTATCTGGTCCTAGTACACATATTTAAATAATTTTTTTAAAAAATCATCATCTGGGTTCTAGTTCTCACTCTGCCTTAGACAAAGTCAGAACTTTTCCAAATCTCTGTTTCTCATTTGGAAAATAAATCAGTAACACTGTACTACTGTGAAGATGAAATAAGATAACATTTTAAAATGCTCTGACTATTGTTAACTTTAAAAATGAGGTGACAGTACTAGTAGTACAAAAGTAACAAAGAAGGACAGTTCAGATGCCTTTTTTTGGGAAAAAATTAACAGACAACTACTACAGAAAAATGATTAAATTATTTTAGTGATATCAATTTGTGTAATTATGAATAAATTACAGAAGGACACTACTACTACTACTACTACTACTACTACTAACAATAATAATAATAATAATGATAGAAAATATACCTTGTTTGATTTTGCCACCAAACTGGTCTTCCAAAAGACCATGGACTACTAATTTGTAGATCATAGCTTGAGCTCTTTCCAAGTCTGCCAGTCCCAAAGCTCTCTTTATGGGAGAACGCATGACTGCTCTTTTCACCATGTGTCGCATCAAGAACTGCAAAGCTGCACGCATTTCAACATCTTCATGAACAACTGGAGAACTTGCGCAATCTGAGTTGTGACCATTTTCAGCTAGGACTTTTGGTATCAATAATAACTCGGCATACTTACTGCAACTAAGGAGAGCACTAAGTGATTTCATAGCACCAAGATAGAGGTAAGACAATTGTACAGCTCTTATTTCTGATTGAGCAATGTCATGATTTTTGGACGTATGTTCATGGTTTTTTCTTTTTCCTTCTATTAGTTGGTGTTGGGACTCATTACTTTGTGATGTTGAATCTAAAGAAAATGAAGCTATTTCATTTTCTGACTTGGAGTTTGTAGCACCATGGCTTTTGACATCATCAGAACTTAAGCTTGTTCTTCCATCTGAAGCAGGATCACTCTCTGTTTTCTGTTCAACATCTACTTTCTCCTCAGATTCATGTCGGTGTTTCTTCTCATGTCTCTTAGTACTCTGTTTGCCCATATCTTCATGAATGCCAGTCAGATAAGTGAGATCTAGCAGCACAGAAGCTGTCAATCCACGAAATCTTGCAACATCAAAGGGCAGCGGTTCACAGGGTTCCAGATTATACAATGGAGTATCACTAGGCGACCAAAAAGTTGGGAAGCTTTAATAAAGATCAGAATGACACAGGAAGAAGCAAGTGAGGGATAGACAGGAGGAAAGTACAGGAAATAATGTAGACAAAAATAAGGTGCACAATGCATATAATAGAGAATAATTTAAATGAACTATAAGTCTTTAAAATTTAATGCAAACAGGGAAAGGAATAAGAATATGATCAAAAAAAGGGAAATGTGATGCTGAATGCAAAGGCAATGAGACATGCACATGCTTTCAACAATGACTACAAATTATTATGTAATGTACCTTTATTTAGAATGCTCATCTAACACACCTAATTTATTACTTTTGTAATGGTTCATTACCAACTTCACAGAAAGTTTAAGTATTTAATTTTAAAATTCACTTCTTTTATCCTAAAGCTAAAGTGTGTCATTTACAAGATTCTTAAATTTTAAATACATAAGAACTTGTTCAAATTTAGGAATACTACAATTTCACAAAAATTTTCTGCAAGATTCATTTCCAAAGTTTTACTGATTTAGGCATTGTTCTATATCAAATTAACACTACAAAGTAATGTCAGGCCCATATTTGGCATCTCAATTAGATATAGCAATAGGTAATATGATAAACTGAGTAGTAATTATCATTTATTATTTCAATAAACTCATATTTTTTTAAATGGAGTCCATTCTTCAAAATAAGAGATCACATGAAAAGAACTAACATTTGTCATCAACAGGTTGCTTGAGAAAGATAATTAATACAATTTTATTTTATTATTTAAAGGCTTTCCTAAACACTACTGTAAGATAAGCATAAAACTTAAAAGGGAAGCAAGCAAAGCAAACGTTAAAACTATACAGTCTAAATACAAATTATCAGGTGAAAGGCAGCCTGGTGTAGTAAAAAAGCACTGGCCTCAGGGTCAGAAGAGAACTATTAGCTTCAAATCCTGCCTCTGGAACTTATTGGCTATACAATCATAAGCAAGTCACTCAAGTTCTTTATAAGCCTCAATTTTCCCATCTGTAAAATGGAGATAATACCACCTTAGTATCTACCTTACTGTGTTGTAGCAAAGTTCAAATGAAGTATAATAGAGAGCTCCGTAATACCCTTAGGGTGATTATCCACTGTTGTTATTAGCAACAAAACTCCAAAACCAGGAGGTTGTTGTACTCAAGAATGATTCAAGCATCATTATGAAGAACAGATTCAATTATCAAGTAGAGAGCTACATAAAATAAATTTATAGTGAAATTCCCTCAATAATGAAGTTCAAGGTAGCTTAAAAATTTCTTTTGACCATTGAACTTACATGAAACACACAAATTCAGCCTTTCAAAATCACAAATACATTTAGGTCGGTTTATTAATTATAATAATAATTATTATTAATGAATTTATAGATTGTATCATTTTCATTTCTACTCAAAATCTTTCATTTCTACACAAATTATTTCCTCACTGAGGGATATAATTACATACATAAAACAACAGTTTGATTGTCTTATGTTAATAGAGGCAAGATAAAGCAAAAATAAGTGAAAATCACAAACAATCCAAAATCTAATTCAAATTTCCCCACTTTCCAATTCAAGGACCTATTAAGCTATAATGTAATTAACAATTCTGAGTTCTTCTATCCAGGGTTGAGGAAGCTGTGGCCTTCTAAGACTCACAGAACAAATCCCCTTAATGCATGATTTGTTCTGTAAAACTTGGACTCAGTCAAAAGACTACGCCCAAGGACCTAGAAGACACATGTGGCCTCAAGGCCACAGGTTTCTCACCCCTGTCCTACTACTCTCTTCTCTCCTTTCCACATATGGACTTAAGAATGAAACACATGAAATGACCAGAAAGTAAAAGATCAAAATAAATACTAGAAGAGGTACAGTTAAATCCTAAACTCCTTACCTCATTCATGAAAATACCTGCAAGGAAGATGACAATCCTACACACACACACACACACACACACACACACACACACACTCTTTCAACTATCCTTGGATCATAAATGAACAAGATCACTTAAAATCACAGAATTAACAACAAAAATATTTTTCAAAAGAAAAAAGCTCATTATTATATCTTATTTAAAATGTATACTACTTATTTTCTATAGCTGACACTTTGTTCAATTATTCAAAGTTTATTTGAATATATCATACCTGACAGTAATTTCTGCTTCATCCCACTGGACCTTCGCAGATGTACTGCCTTCTTTGACCACGCCAAGTAAGGTGGCATGACGCCCAGTCTGCTTGTGAACACATCGACCTCCAACTCTTAGACCAGCATCAACTCCACCTATCACTGCAAGCACAGGCCACACCTCTATGCAGAGTGTCTTCAACTGCAGCTCAGAGAGGTCAGCAAGACCATGCCTAGTATGTTTACCTTTCTCTTCCTCTTTGTTCTCTTTTTCCTCTCTCATCTCATTCTCCTCTCGGCTTTGAACTGAGCGACTTTTCTTTAGTTTCTGACCAGTTTCTTTAATGCACATCTTAATTTTATGTAATCTTTCCATCATTTTCTTGTTTATGCAATGTGTCCAACGATCTGTCCGGTGAAGGATACGTATAAGTTGAATAGTGGCCTCAGCAAGCACTGCGGCTACAGGACTACAAATAGGATCTCCAGGAAGCAAGTCTCTGGGTGTACCGCGCATCTGCATATCACAGATCTTCACCTGAAGAAAAAGAAAGAGAGAAACTAGTCAAATGTCAAATTAACAACAGCCATAAAAACTAGTAATTTTACCATTCCAAAATGTTAAGTACACTGCTGAACCAAAGCTATAATTATGAATTTTAACCATGAATATTCGCTTAAGCTACAGCATGAAGTTTACCTCTAGAGTTTAACAGACCATGTTAGATCTGCCAGTCAGCATTCATGTCCTCTAGATGAAGAGTTCTTAACATTTGTGTCACAGGTCCCTTTGGCAGTCTGATGGAACCTACAGACCTTTCTCAAGATAAATGTTTTTACACAATTGAAGGGAATGCTAAATTTTAGTTAGAAGTTGGTAAAAATGAGGATGTAATTTTTTCCCATCCAAGTTCAAAGACCTCCTGAAATCTATTTCCATGGACCCTGGATTAGTATTCCCTGTTCCAGAGTGAAAGTTACTTGGCTACATGAGTTCTCAATGGCTTGGGAACCCTAATAAACTGGAACAACGCCACAAAATATGGGTCTACTCTAAAAGTGAACTGAGGGTCAAGGTATATACTCTGAATGACTATCTGCCCCATGGCCAATTTCTGTGAGATCTAAACACTTCAGTTCAGATTACCCCCAAGTCAATCATGAGGTTCTCTTGCAAGATTTAAGGATCAAAGAGTGGGAATTTTGATCTTTACTACTTGAGAAATTCCTAATAACTCACATTTACATGGCTTTAAGGTTTGTAAAGCACTATTTACATACTGTCTTATTTTATCCTATACAGAAAGATTAAGTAACCTGTGCAGGATTACATAGTTAGTAAACAGCAGAAGCAGAATTTGAATTCAAGTATTCTTGACTTCAAGTCCAGAACTCTATTCATTATACCAACTACTTGCTAAGCTAGATTAATATCCCATGTACACCTCTAAAGTTTACCAACTAGAAATATCTCAGAGTTGCAAATAATTGCATATGTACTCCAAGTTATGGTTCAATGGTTTTTGGAATATGCTAACCATTACATTTTCATATACTCAAATGGAAATATTAGAATATCATAAGGAAGAACTAAAGCAACAGGAATTAAATGCTCTTTTCTCCTCCCCTCAAGGTCAATCTTATGGACAAAATATCCATGAAAAAGTTACCTCCAATCATGGAAAGCTGACCTACAATTTTACTTCTCTGGGGGGCGGAGGAAAAATAATGACTTGCTTGAGCTCTCCCTCAAACCCCTCCAAATACCTATCAAAAATGGCTCTAAATAAATTCTAAAGCAGCAGAACCCACAAAAAAACAGAGTAAAACAAATTTCCAGCCAAAGACAACCTGGATGGCTGATCAGAAAGATATATCGCACCGGGTGGGGAGAGGAGCGCAGTTCGGCTTGGGCACGCAGGCTGCAGCAAACCTGCAGCAGGCCTCAGAGGACTGAATCACAGGCAGCTGTGGCGGTTTCCAGACTTCTCAACCCACGAATGCCAAAGATGACTTAGAAGGTCAGTGGGAAAAGTGTGTGACTGAAGTGAGAGAAGAAGCTAGGTCTCAGTCGCCCCTAGGGCAGCGGCTGCCTCCTGAGCTTCCAGCCCACAGACTGAGGGGGAATTGAGTGGCTGATCAGAGGGGGACTGCAAGGATCTCTTTGCCAGGGCTGAGGCAGGAATCTCTTGCTTTGCCCATGCTTGGATCTGGGTCACAGTTCTGAGGGGTGGTCCTGGGGCAAGGAGGAGTGCTGGCGTGGTGGAGCTTGTTGTGGTGGTGGAGAGGAAACACCTCGCCCCTTATCATAGCACCTTGGAAAAACTGACTCTTTTCAGGTCCCTAGAAGTATCTCTGAACACAGCTGTACAAACCCCGAAGCCTGGGACAGTACATTCTCCACATTGGAAGCAGACTCTTACCTTAACAAAGAGTTTAAAACTCAAGTAATTGGTTGGGATCATGAGCAAGCATCACAAAAAGAGTCATACTATATTATCTTACTTTGGTGACAAAGAAGATCAAAACATACAACCAGAAGAAGAAAATAAAGTCAAAGCTCCCACATCCAAAGCCTCCAAGAAAAATATGAATCAGTCCCAGGCCTTGGAAGAGCTCAAAAGGGATTTTGAGAAGTAAGAGAAGTAGAGGAAAAACTGGGAAGAGAAATGAGAGTGATGCAAGAAAATCATGAAAAGCAAGTTAACAGCATGCTAAAGGAGACCAAAAAAATACTACCTTAAAAAATAGCCTAACCCAAATGGCAAAAGAGTTCCAAAAAGTCAATGAAGGGAAGAATGCCCTAAAAAGCAAAATTGGCCAAATGGAAAAAGTCCAAAAGACTACTGAAGAAAATACTTCCTTAAAAATTAGAACAGAGCAATTGGAACCCAGTGACTTTATGAAAAATCAAGACACTGTAAAACAAATCCAAAAGAATGAAAAATTAGGAAACAATGTGAAATATCTCATTGGAAAAACAACTGAACTGGAAAATAGATCCAGGAGAGACAATTTAAAAATTATTAGACTATCTGAAAGTCATGATCAAAAAAAGAGCCTAGACATCATCTTTCAAGAAATGATCAAGGAAAACTGCCCTGATATTTCAGAACCAGAGGGCAAAACAGAAATTGAAAGAATCCACTGATCTCCTCCTGAAAGAGATCCCCAAAGGAGAACTCCTAGGAATATTGTAGCCAAATTCCAGAGTTCCCAGGTCAAGGAGAAAATATTATAAGCAGCCAGAAAAAAACAAAAAAAAAAAAATTGTGTAAACACAATCAGGATAACACAAGATTTAGCAGCTTCTACACTAAGGGATCACAGGGCATAGAATATAATATTTCAGAGGGCAAAGGAGATAGGAATACAACCAAGAATCATCTACCCAGCAAAACTGAGTATAATTCTTCAGGGGAAAAAATAGTCATTCAGTGAAAAAGAGGACTTTCAAGCATTCTTGATGAAAAGACCAGAGCTGAATAGAAAATTTTACTTTCCAATACAAGACTCAAGTGGAACATGAAGAAGTAAACAGGAAAAGAGAATCATAAGAGACTTACTAAGGTTGAACTGTTTATATTCCTGCATGGAAAGATGATATTTGTAACTCATGAGACCTTTGTCAGTATTAGGGTAGTTGGAGGGAAAAAATTATATGTATGTGTATAGATAGATAGATAGAGGGCACAGGATGAGTTGAAGATGAAGGGGGTCATATCTGGAGAATAAAATTAAGGGGTGAGAGAGGATTATGCTAGGAGAAGGAGAAAGGGAGAGGTAGAATGGGGTAAATTATCTCAAAAAAAAAAACAGAAAAGAAAAGGCTCTTACGGTGGAGGGGAAACGAGGAAGGTGAAAGGGAATGAGTGAATCTTATTCTCATAGGATTTGGCTTAAGGAGGGAATAACATACACATTCAATTGGGTATGGAAATCTGTCCTACCCTACAGGAAAATAGGAGGGGAGGGGACAAGACAGTAGGGGGATGATAGAGAGGAGGGCAGATTGGGAAAGGGGGTAATCAGAAGCAAATACTTCTGAGGAGGGACAGGGTCAAAAGAAAGAATAGAATAAATGGGGGGGTTGGGATAGGATTAAGGGAAATAGAGTTAGTTTTTCACAGCATGCCTACTATGGAAGTGTTTTGCATAACTGCACTTTTATAGCCTATATTGAGTTGCTTGCCTTTTCAATGAGGGTGGGTGGGGAGGGAGGAAGGGAGAAAATTTGAAACCCAAAGTTTTAAAAACACATTTAAAAAAAAAATGTTTTCACATGCAACTGGGAAATAAGAAATACAGGAAATGGGTTACAGAAATCTATCCTGCCCTACAGGAAAATAGAAGGGGAAGGGGATAAGAGAAGGGGGAAAGAAATAGAAGGGAAGGCAGACTGGGGGGAAGGGGTATTCAGAATGCATGCCATCTTGGGGTGGGGGGAGGGGCGAGATGGGGTGAAAATTTGGAACTCAAAATCTTCTGGAAGTAAATGTTGAAAACTAAAAATAAATAAATTTATTAATTAAAAACAAAAAAAAAATTACTTCCCTAAGAAATTCCTATCTAATTTTTTGAGGGGAAGAGAAAAAGAGGCCTCTTGTTACTTTCATTCTTCCTTATGACATTATGCTTCCATTCAGGAATACTAGAATATCATGGTTTAGCAGGTTCCAAAAATCACTAAGTCTAGAGTCATCCACGTAATTTCGAGAACACATTCAATTATTTTCAATTGTAAAGTTGTATATATGTGTGTGTACAAATATATAACGTTGTTAAAATCTTTAAAAATCTGAACACTAATACCAAACTAAGCCCTTGAATGTTCAAGGAAGATCTATACTTTTTTTTTTCCAAGACACTATAGGGACTTAATACATCTCACAAATTTCTAAAGACTTTAATTCTAACCTCAAAATAAAAGGAAGCATTTACCTGACATTACCGAGATGACTAAAAATCTCAGTAATGGGACACAAGAAATGAAATATTATTCCTTTACAATTAGCATCTCCACTAAGCAATGAAATTCTCTTCTCAGATCAGCAACAAAACCTCAAGTCACCCATTCAGAATAAAGCATGTCATTGGAAAGCAGAAAGAAAACTAGAATCCAAGTCAAAAAACTTCAGGATCAAGTCCCAGAAAGACTCCTCACTTGCTATTCTGGGGCAGTTAGGTGACACAGTGGATAAAATGCTGGGCCAGGAGTCAGAAAAACCTGAGTTCAAATTTGGTCATAGACACTAGCTGTGTGACCCTGGGCAAGTCAATATCTGTCTCAGTTTCTTTATCTGTAAAAGAGAGATAATAATAGCATATACCTACCTAGGGCTGTCAAGAAGATTAAATGAAATAATAATTGTAAAACACATGACACAATGCCTAGCTCATGGTAAGTGCCATGTAAATGCTAGCTATCATCATCATCATCACCTTTAAAAGGTCACTTAAAATTTCAAGTACCTGATTGGTAGGGCAGCTAGATGGCACACTAGAGTGTCAGGCCTAAAGTCAAGAAGACCTGAGTTCAAATCCAGACTCAGACATTTACTAGCTGTGTGGCCCTGGGCAAGACACTTAACCTTGTTTATCTGAGTTTCCTCATCTACAAAATAAGCTGGAAAAGGAAACAGCAAACAACTCCAGTATCTTGGCCAAGAAAACGCCAAATGGGTTCACAAAGAGTTGGGCATGACTGAAAAGCCTAGACAACAATCTAATCTATAAAATGGATTTAATAATATTGACATTATCTACCTCATAGTGAGTCTGGCAAGGATAAATTTTAAAACACTGTGAAATATTTTGTAACCAATAAGTATTTTATACATGCCCAGCCACTATTCTTAACAAAATTAGCAGGAAAGAAAAAAAAATCGCCAAAAACATCCTCTAGATAAGTCATAACATAAATTCAAGAAAAAATGATATAGCATGGATTATAAAATGAAAATTAAAACATGGAACCATGAAATGCTGTCAACAATTATACAAATTCTATCCCTGGCCTAAGTCTGACCCAAACGCTCTGTGAACAATTCAATATTTAACCAACAATCAAAACAGTAATTAATTTTTCATTTTAAAGTGCTCTAATGTTTATGGGCTTTGTATCTGTGTAGCTGATAATGAACCACATTTCTCAAAAAATTTACTTAAAAATTGGGTACTTTAGAAAAGGGATTCATTATTTCAGCATCCTAGGGAATGTGTAATAAACTGAGAAGAACCTTTTTTAATGGTACTTCAGAAGTCAAAGAATAAATACAACTTTCCCAAAATAAAACTTTTAAAAGTTATTTCATTTTATTTACTGTATAAAAATCTAGTTAAATAGGTCTTTGTTTTTTCATCAAACATAAGAGAATATGAATAAGCAAAAAAAGCATTTAAGTGTTTCCTATGTGCCGGAGACTTTGCTAAGTGCTATCACTTAGACACAAAAATGGATAGTCCCTCACCTCAAGGACTAGGAAGTTACAGGGACCATGAGTAGAGCTACAGGATATTAGATGTCATTTCCAAAAAAGCTAGTATTTATTTGATTACTGGTCCCAGGGCTAGAGGGGAAATGCTGGGAGGCAAGAGGGAGGGGAAGAGAAAAAAAGAGAATATTTACATAGATTTGTAAATTACATCAGAAATTAGTAACATCCATAACCAGTAACTATTCCCTTCAGTATAAAGATACAATTTTAAAATACCTTTTCTCCAGGGTTGCTGCTGTAGAACATTACACAAGGATATAACTCTGCTGCATCCACATCTTCAAAAGCTAGTTTGGGTTCCTAGATTTCAGCATGGATGAGAGAAAAAAAGAAATAAAAATTAAAGAAATAAACAATGCAGTTTCAAACTAAAAGGGTCTATAGGTAATATCATTGTAAGAATATGCTATAGATTGCCTAAATGATGGGAGAAGATGCTTACTTCAAAAAGATCACAAAATTGGCACTGAGGCAATATACAGTAATGATAAGGGAATTCAACTAGAATGTCTGCTAGATATCTCACTCTGAAAAAAAGAGGATATCCTATAAATTATTGGCTTCTTTTCTTAACAACCTTTACCCTCCAGTATGTAATAATCGCAATGAAATTAACTGTTAATTAAATTTAGGACTAATCAAGAGGAAAGAATTGGTGAAGTTAAAGGAATAGGAACCTTGGGAAAATGTGGCCATGTTATAATAGTCAAATTAGAGAATTCAAAGCACAGTCAGATATACACCCTAGACTTTAGGAAGGTATCCATTAAAATGCTCAGCAGGGGGAGGGGAAAGAGGAGGGAATGGAGTTAAGTTTCCTAATTCCACAGCCAAAGATTCACGAAAAAAGAATGGGAAGTTCTCAAAATAAGATTGTGGCAAATACAATCACAAATAATCTTTGTCAAGACAAAGATGGGAGCATCTAAAGAGATAATGTGAATAAAGGAAATGTTCTTAAATCAAAGTGAAGTTTGTCAAAGTAGTGAGGCAACACAGGCAAGGATATTAGAACCCATGAGCCTATCATTTGCAGTTTGCATGTTCTGTTATTTCCCCAATTGCTAGAAACAGCTATGATAAGAGTTGTTGTTAAGAATCTGCATGTTCTATTATTTCCCTAATTGCTAGAAACAGTATCAAAAGAGTTGTATTATATGTATGTTCCTGAGGTATTCTGGGAGTAAATGTGCATGCTGCATAAGGTATAGGGAGGAAAGCTGTGATGAAAAGATGTACCCAAAATCAACAGATATTATGTCCCCAAGAACACTCTCTGAGCCACTGTCCCACCCTAAAAGCTTGTCAGTGTCAGAGAACATAAGACTATGACATTAAACACAATGAAAGAAGACTTTGTAAGTTGTCCATAACAAAAAGAAAAGGAAAAAGAGTCCTTGGTTTGAGTTGATGGTACAATTTTAATACACAAAGAACCAGTAGTCAATTATTTCAGTTCAATACTCCCTATCAAGAAAAATGATCTTCAAACTAGAAATGATAGAAAAATACAGGGATAGGTGGGGAATGAGACTACAAGGAGTAAGCAAGTCCCTTATCCCGATAAATTATATCCTGAACTTTTATAAGAACCTGTTTATGTTACTGCTAAATTGTTATCTATAATTTTGGAGAAACTGTGTAGATCAAGGGAGGTAACAGGAAAAGGACAATTATTAACTCAATTTTTCTAAAAGGGGAAAGATGAGAATTCCACAAACCATATATCAGCAAGCCTTATGATGATCTCTAGGATAACTCTAGAACAAACAATCAAATCAATTGTGAGCACCCAGAAAGGGAAATGATAACAACTAGAAGAAAGTATAGCAAACTAACTATAATTCCTTTTTTGGATTGGGTTGCTAGACCAATGTATCAGGGAAATGTTGTAGATATACATTTGGATTTGAGCAAGTTATATGACAAAGTTACTTTGTATATTTTTGTGGACAAGATGAAAAAATAGAGAAGAAGTAATCATGAAGTTAGATGGATTCATAATTGGTTGAACAACAGTTCCCAGAGTGTTAATTAATAGACATCAAGCAGGAGGAAGAACTCCAGTGGTTTATATAACAGGAGGCTGTAATTGATACTATTACACTCAACATTTTAGCAATTACTTGGATAAAAACATGGAAGGCATGGTTTCACATCTGACACAAAACTAAGAAAGATAGCTATTATTTTGGACAACAAAATTCATGATTCAGAAAGTCTTTCAAAAGCTCTAAAGATGGACTGAATTTAGCAAGAAATAAATGTGTGAAGTCCTGCACATAAGTTGAAAAAAGTCAGCTGCACAGGAACAGAAGACCACCTAGCTTTAAAGACTCAAAGTTTCAATGAGATAATCTCTACAGTCTCTTACAGCTCTAACCCTATAATCCTACAGGATTTTTAGTTGACTACTAGCTCAATGAATAGACAATGCCCAAAAAAAAAAAAAAAAGACTATTTAGAATTTAGGTTTCATTAATACAGGCACAGTGTCCAGGACAAAGGAGGACTATCCAGGATAGTCCAGAACTATCTTAGGCAGTCCATCTTATTTTCTACTCACATCTTATTAAAAAGCTTGAGTTTACTGAATCCTGCCATACTCTGTGCTGGTCATTCCACATATGGATTACTGCATTCAGTTAGGTTTGCCACATTTAAGAGGAACATTCACAAACTTGAGAGGAAGGTCACCTATCTGGGGAGAAGATTTGAGGGCACAGTATCTGAATAACAGTTTAAGAAACTAGAGATGTTTGTCTATAAAAGATTTCAGAACAGGACAACAGATATTTTAAAATATCTGAAGGTCTGCCTTCTGGAAATAGGATTAGATTTATTCTATGTAGCTCCATAGGGCAGAACTAGGAAAAAGAGGTTACTGAAATATGCCTCCCTAACAATTCAAGCAGTCCACAAATAGAATGGACAATGTTTGAAATATGTTCTTTGCCCCTAGACATATTCAATCAACAACTGGATTATAACCTGTTAGAGCAGCAGTAGAAAGAATTCCTACAATATGTAGAAGTTTGATCAGATGACCTCTAAGGTCCCTTTCAACTCTAAAATTCTAAAACACTCTGAATTTTTATGAAATAAAATTTTCCTTGATAAAATTCACAGCAAGAATTTATGCAAATCCACCACATAAAGAAACAATAACCAGTTCTTGATTATCATTTCTAACTGGGGAAATTCCACAAATGCTAATTCATGCATTATTTTCAACAACTTTTATCAAATGGAATTACACAACCTCTTCTTTTTTGCTCTCTGCTCTCTAGTGTAGATACTAATAAGTACTGCAACAGAAGAAAAGGAAACATTAAGAAGAAAGAAGAGAATCAAGGGTAGATAATCTATAAATTGGAAATCAGCCCCTAAATAAACAAGTTGACTATACACTAAAACACAGACAGTATAAATCTTATAAACAAATTTTAGTACCTCTCCATTTTTACCAAAGGAAATGGTTCTGGCCTCCATGTCCAATACACAAGTGATAAAATCTCCTTGAGTAAAACTGGACAATGTCAAAGTCTGTTCTCCATTATGATACAGATTACCACTGTAGGCTCTATACAACCACATATCTGAGGTAGTGCGGTGATTAAAATCATGTACTGGCCATCGAGAAACTCCAACACATGTGCCTTCATTACCACGGTTTTCCTTTACAATGTAAAACTAAAATAAAATCAATAATTTTCATTAATATTAAGTCAACCTTTAATTATACTAATTGACTATGTTAACCCATATTTAAGAAAAAGAATTTATATCTATAATCAACACTTAAATACTCAAAGAAGTAATATAAAAGGTATCAAACGAAATATAATGTGTAAATGTATAATCCATTTTTGTTACTTTAAAACAAAGTCATAAAAAAGGTTGTTACAGTTTTTATACCTGCAGAGATTTTTTTTTTATTTTATCCTTTAAGCAACTCTCAATCATCCTGCCAAGGCTATCTTAACAATCCATCTTGATTTCTACTTACATCTTATTAAAAAGCTTGAGTTAACCAAGAATTTTCAGAAAGGATTTCTTAAGGAATATTTAAATGATTTTTAGAATTTCTAACTATTCCCCAATGGGGACTTTTAATTAGTTTTAGCTAGAATGATTGTTTATCATACAACTATATCATGGGGAGAAAAAAAATTTCTACCTTTCATATAGTGCTAAAATTATTTTTTAAAATGACAAAACAAAATTTTAAAAGTTTATTGGAATTTCACAAACCTTCCACTGATAACATCCAGATGTTACACCTGTTGATGCTAACCCATATCCTTTTCCTCCACTGCCATGGGTTAAAATCTGTCCATTTTCCACTAAACAGCACTGAGCTTTCTCTGGGTCAAAGGACACTTCTTGAATAGGAAGGTTTTCATCTTCTTCCTCTAATTCTCCTTGCTTCTATCAGAAATGAAGCTTTATTAGTATTTCAGAATAAGCTAACTTCAGGTAATAACTAAAGACAATTGTTAGAAAGATAAGTTACCTGTAACTTCATTTCCTGTTCTTTCTCCTTGATCTGAATTGCATGTTTGGCCTGCGCAATGGGTGTCTCCCACATACAATCCGAGAGAAGGGAAAATAATCGTTCAACAACCTGTTGTATCACAGGGGGAAAAAAGAGAGAAGTTAATTCCAAAATAGCAATTTTAAGTTATTAGAAAATATAAACTATATAATTTGATAACATATTACTTTCTGTTAGTAAGTTAATCATTTTAGAAGCATCATTAATTTTTTTAGTATAATGAAACATTAATTCTATTCATTTTATTAATTCTACAAAAACATATTGAGCACCTATAATGTGTAGGGAAGGAGAATAACAAGCATTTTTGCTAAGCTCCTACTATGTGCTAGGCACTGTGTTAAAAGCTTTAAAATATTATCTCATTTGATCCTCACAACAACCCTAGAAGGTAGGTGCTATTACTATTATCTTCTTTTTTACAATTGAGGAAACTTGAGTTTAAATGACTTGTCACATAGCTAGTAAAGTATCTTAAGTCAAATTTGAACTCAGGTCTTTCTGACTCTGTTTTAACTAGTATCTTGTTGTCCTGAAAAGATCTGTAGACAGTAAATAACTTGGACAATATTAGAAGAGAATTAGCACTAAATCCATAAGATGACAAGCAGAAACACCAAAAAGGACAAACACAAAGGAGCAGATAGCACTTAGCTGGTGATAAAAGGCACAAAAACCCAGAAGCTAATGTTTACAAAAAAAATGGTTCAGCATAAGGCATTCTTATAAGTCTTTTGTAACCTGAATTAGGTTCTATAAAAGTCACAATTCTTTAAGTACCTTTGCCCCACCACAGAATCACGCTCTAACAGATCTCTGCCTTCAATTCAACTTATATTTGTTAAATGTCTACTATGAACAACACAGTACAAAACAATGGAGACAAAAGGACAAAATCCAAACATTCTCAGCCCTCTGCCCTCAAGAAATGTACATTCTAGTGGGGAAACAAAACACAAATAGGTAAAAACAAATTACAAAGTAATTTCAAAAGGGGAACAGTACAAATCACTAAGGGGCAGAGGAAGACAGGTCAGAAGAGGCATCATATTGAAGGGGCACCTGAGCTGTGTCGGGAGACGAAGGCAAGAAAGGAGCATATTCCAGACAAGACTGAACAAATATACCAAGGCATCAAGACAGGAGAAGTCACAAAAAAAACTAGCATGCCTATGTGACTGGCACAGAGAATGCCTATAGAAGATTAGTAAGAAATCAGATTAGAAAGAGAATGCAATTATATAGGGGTCTTAAGTATCAGGCTGATAAAATTCTTCCTTGTAAACTAGATGAGCTATCTAAGAATTTCTGAGGGGGGAGACAGTCAGTTCTGTGCTTTATAAATATTACTTTGGCAGATGTGCAGAAGATGGTTTGGTAATGGAGAAGAATGGGAGCAACGAGACCAATAAGGAAACTCTTCCACTAGTCTACATGAAAGAGCCTCAGGTAGGTGGGGTGGTTGTATATGCCACATGAAATGGGCAGTCTGGAGAACACAGATGTGGAATGGATGGGGGCATAAGGGAGAAGGTGATTCATGGGTAACGCCAAGACTGAGGAGGCTTAGGACATGTAGTGGTCAGGAATGGTACAGGGTGTGTACAAAGGTTTAGAATAACTGTAGTGGAAAGAATAAAGGACTACCACACAACAGTGAAGGCTCATTTTTGAAGGGTCCCACTCCCTTTGATTTACCTCTACTACTATCTGTTAGGAACAGCAGAGAAGACAAAGCAATATGAGAATCTGAAGTTATGCTATATTATAGTAATATGAAGTTAAACAAATCTCAAATGTAATCTGTAGTTAATTTTTATTAACTTTATTTTTATGCTGTGTTTTATATGTACTTGTTGCATTCATCCCTCAGTAGATATAAATTCGACACAAGTAGAGAATGTTTCATTCTTTGTATTTATATCCCTAGCACCTAGCCTAGTTCCTGACAAATAATAAGCAATATGTTTGACTGCTTTTTTACTTATTGTTTTGGAATATTATAAATCACACTGTAGAATGATTTTCAAAATACAGACCTGAGCCATTTGATCATCTTCGACCCCAGATTCACAAGCTGGTAATACAGCTTCAAGGACATGGAGTGCAAGTAATCTGGTCCTTAAGTTACCCACCAGTGGAATACCTGAAAAAGAAAAATTGTGTTATAATCAACATGATCTAGATTTAGAGAGAAAATTTTAAATATCAAGAAAATTCTCAAAATTAAGTTAGCTATTCAATAGTGTTAAGCATAATCAACATCTGAATGAGACAAATATGCAATACAAACTTCTTTTTAAGCCTATGTTATACCTGAAGAACACTTCTGAGATGCAATATTAAGAAGCACTTCAGTCCACTTTGGAGAAGCCATTTTTGACTGAATAGCTTTTGAAGACACAACTCTTCGCAGAAAAACTAGAAAGTCTCCTAAATGTAGTTCTGCTGCATGCTGTTTTCTAAGTACAGCTGAAGATTTAAAAGAAAACCTTAAGTTATATCACAAGTTTGAAACAAGAAATAATCTTATAAACAATGCCATAGCCACATTAATCAAATTACCAAAAACTTACATTACCAAACTAGAAAAAATAATAGCAAAATTTCTTTATGGGAACAAAAGTTCAGGGAAAATAATGAAATAAAAATAAGAATAAAAGGAGTCCTAGTATCACCAGATCTCAAATTATATTATAAAGAAACAAAAACTGGTCAATGGGATAGCTAGATAAGAAAGACCCTGAAGCAATTTAGCATAACAGCCTATACAGTATTTTATAAAGGACACAAAATACTGGAAAATAAAGGTAATCTTTTTTTTTTTATAAAAACTGCTGGGGAAAGCAGTTTGGAACAAAATACACTTAGAATAATACCTTATACCATACACCACAATGATCTCCAAAAAGATAAATGGCATAAATATAAAGATCAGATCATAAAAAAAGAGAATAGAAGGTACCATGCACCACTAAGAATAGTAGGTGAATTCATGACTAAACAAAGAAAAGTGGTGATCAAATAGGAAAAATTTTATTTTACATTTATGAAATTAAAGCAACTAGATGAAGACTGAAAAAAGATTTGGCAATTAAGACATCATTAGTAACTTGAGAGATGACTGGATTGAACCTTAGAGGCCAACTAGTGTGACCTCTTCAATTTTTAGGTAAAGAAAATGAGGGAGCCCAAAGAGATTGAGTTACATGCCCAAGGTCACACAAGTGTTAAGTGGCAGGGGTAGGATTTGAACCAAGAATTTGTCAGTGAAAAAGGAAGAAAGATAAAATAATAATTTGAAGTAATAGCAGGGTGAAGGGAATACTTTTTTTTCCAAAAAAATGGGGAGACCTGAGTATATTTTGTAGGTAAAATAAAAGAGTCAGTAGAAAGAGAGATAATGAAGGTGAGGTTTAAAAACAATAACAACAAAAACAAAAACAAAAGTAATTAATGGGATAAGTTCCCAGAGGAGAAAGGAGGGTTTGAAATCAAGAGCAGCAGACAGAGTAGCTGGTCTTGATTTTCTACCAATTTCTTAGAGACAAGAAAAGTAAGAGAGGACAAGTTAAGATGGGTTTTGAAGGAATATAAGAATAAATATAAGCAAACTAAAAATGCAGGGCCTTGATATTATCAGTGGAGATGAAGTCATCTACTGAAAGAGGGTTTTAGTGGCATAGTAAAGTTGAAGAAAGAGAAAGTTTTGAACTCTCCTATAATGAGCATGACAGAAAATAAGGAGAACATAAAGATTATAATAAAGCAGTAAAGGTATGATTATTATTAGAGAATATATATTTGTATATGTCCCAGGGGACACAGTTGGTGGGGTGTCATAGTGGCAGAGTATGAACGGTCAAACAAAAGGGTGACAAACAATTCAGAAGTAAATATGTGAAATGGTCACTTTCAGCATTCAAACTGTGAAGATAAATGTACCCACAGAAATAACTACTCAATAATACTATGATTATTAATGTTGACTGAGGCATAAAATAGAGGAGGTATCTACATGACGAAAGTGTCCTCCACTGTCATGAAGAATGTCCTAGGCAGAGAGCAAATGAAAACAACATTTTCTATAGGTGAAATCCTCGTGTTTACAGATGATAATGTGCAGAATACATCCAACCCAGAACATTGTAAGGTCTCCCCAATGAGATCCATGATTACCCAAAAGATATCTAACAAATAATAGTAGAATAGCAGGAGGCAGTTGGTATGGTGAAAAGAGTGTTGAATTTTATGGTCACAGATTCTGAATTCAAAGCCCAGCTCTACTTCTTTGTAACCTCTTAATCAGTGGGACTACGTAATCATAATCTCTAAAGATTCACATTTGCAGGTGATTTCTGGAAAGGCCAATGTAAGGACACACAGTGTCCAAAGATATCCTATGTATAAGTAATATAAGGATAGTATTCAGGAAAACTCTGATCAATAAAAGAGCAAGGGATGGCAAGGTAGACCATAAGTGGTATGATGATACACGTGAAATATAAAAAGACCTAGAGCAAGTACACTGGGTAGATTCTTTGCAGAGATTCTACAGAGGAACACGAATTAAAACTTCAAAGAATGAGATAGAAGACATGAGTTGCAATTTGTATTGAGGGAAAAAATAGCCGTATCAAAGAGATAACACACAGATCTACTGAAATATTTAAGTACAATAATCTATACCTTTATTATACTATATTTTAAGCTCCATGAGGCCAGGAACAGCATATCATATCATATATCACCCTTCAGCACCTAGCACAGGAGGCACTTAACGCTTATAAAATTAATTAATTAGTGGATTTTGTACTCCCAAGGTATTTTTAAAGAAAAAAATGGTTTCAAGATTAAGAGTCTGGTTTGACTAGTTTTAGATCATTTCCCCCCTTGTCTAAAGGTAATGCAAGGTAAGTTTTAAAACCCAAGACACAAAGCCATATTGAAGTATGATAGTCAGTTAATTTTTTTTAAAGTAGGTGCTAAAACAGTCTGTTGCAGTGGAAAAGTATTAGATATGAAGTCAGAGAATCTGAGTTTGAGGAAGAAGAGAGGTGGAAGAGAAAGAGGATAGAGAAAACAAGTCACAGAAGAAAATTTAAAGATTTAAAGATTTATACAACTGCTGAAGATAAACAACATTATATCTATTTTATAGATGAGGAAACTGAAGCTCACAGAGGTTGAGAATCTTGCCCACAGTCAAACAATACACAGGAAAGGTGGAGATTTGAACCCAAGTGTTCCTCACTCTATTCATTAGCCCTCTGTAGCTGGAGTTTATACATTCCATCCAGGGTTTGGAAGGAACATGTATTTATTAAGTGTCTACTGGGTACCAGACACTGTACTAAGCTAAGCATTTTACAGATATTATCTCATTTTAAAGACTGTGTGGGAAAGTCCAGGCTTCAGACAAGAAGCTGCCAGAGCTCAGCAAGAACAGGAACAGTGATTACACCTTCCCTTTAAGAAGAAACTGGGGGCCACAAAGGTTTTTCCTTCACTATTCCCAGTATTACCAAGGAAATACTAAGACACCAAAAGCTGAGGAAGGCTTTCTTCTCCAAAAGGAGAGAGCACACAAAAAGAGAGAAAAGGTATAGACAAAAGCAGAAGATATGGAGAAGTTCCACATTTAAAACTTCACTACTTTAGAATTTAGGCTGGGGCTCTATGTCTCTCCTTCTAGATATCAGATGGGAAGAGTTATCTGTCTCCAGGGAAACTTCAGACAAAACCAAGACAAAAACAGCTCTTTCCTTAGGAAAATGAGAGAGGCCCCAAACCCTATCTACTCCAATAGACCTGCCCTGGAAGGCCTATACTGCTGGTAGGTTCAAGTCAGCTTTTCTAAGCCTTAGTGGAGTTTCAATCCTATTCCAATAACAATTGCTAAAACAAAGTAGTACACTCATCTAACTTAAAGAGAACATTGCTAAGTTAACAGGAAATATAAACTATGACACCAAAATCATCCTACACATGCTGGAAATACTGAGCACCGCAAAGAATTATAGTGATGGGTTAAAATGAATGTATAACAGAAATTCAGTAAACCCAGCTCCACTATTTACTAGCTAAGTCTTTTTACAATTTAACACAAACTGCAATCCAGTGACCCTGGCCTCCAAGCCGTTCCTCCAACAAGACCCTCTGTGTCCTAATGCTGGGCATTTTCTCTGGCTGTCCCCCATGCCGAGAATGCTCTTCTCCTCTGCTCTGACTCCTTCTGGCTTCCTTCAAGTTCCAGCTAAAAGTTCACCACTTACAGAATGTCCTTCACAATCTCTTTTAATTACAGTGCCTTCCCTCTGTTGACTATAGTTGGTTTATCCTGTAGATAGCTTGTTTGAACATAATTAACTGCATATTGTCTCTCCATGAGATTGTGAGTTCCACATGAGCAGGAACTGTCCTCTACCTTTTTCATTTTTTTTTTAAATCCCAGTGCTTAGCACAGTGCCTGGTATATAATAAGAGTTTAATATACATTTACTAACTGACCAAGTAAGTTATCCTAGGTAAGTCACTGAACCTCTCTAAGCCTCTGTCTCATCACATATAAACAGAGACATTTATACTACTTACTTCATAGGGTTATGGTCCAAAAGTGCTTTGTAAACCTTCAAATGCCATATAAAGATGAATTATGGCAAGCAACACCAAAAACTTAATTCAAGAAAGGTAAATAAAAATTATCATCTTCTAGCCAAATAAGAGCAGAGAGGAAAAAGTACTTGATAACTGATGATTTAAGACAATGATATGGGCAGCTAGGTGGCGTAGTGGATAAAGCACTGGCCCTGAAGTTAGGAGGACCTGAGTTCAAATCTGGCCTCAGACCAAACACTTGACACTTACTAGTTGTGTGACCCTGGGCAAGTCACTTAACCCCAACTGCCTAAAAATTAAAAAAAAAAAAAAAGACAATGATAATAAAAAATTATGAAAATTCCTATTTGCAGATGTCATGATCAGATACTTAGAAAATCCCAATAAATTAACAAAGACAGTAACTGAAATACTAGTAGCTATAACAAGGTTATAAGACATAAAAACAAAGCCATGAAAATCATAAGCATTTTTAAACAGTATTTATGAAAACCAGGAGCAAATAGTAAGAGAAATTTGATTCAAAATTAGTACCAAACGTACAAAATAAGATGGTATTAATCTACGAAGAAATATACAAGATTTATACTAGTACAACTATAAAAAAAATTTGATGGTAATAGAGAGAGATTTAAATAAATTAGATTGACATACCCTGCTTGTGGTATAATAAATATGACAACACAACCTAAATTAAGTTTAAGATTTAATTCTAAACCAAGTACTGAAGGGATACTTATTTGGACCCGTAAAAACTAAAAATCAGAAACTCATAGGAAATAATGAAAAAAAGTATAAATGAAAAAAGTCTAGACTGAACTTCAAACTATATCATAAAGCAGTTGTCACCAAAACTAGTGGTATTGGTTAAAAAACATAAATCAGCAAAACAGAACTAGATAAAAAATCAGAAGCAATCAAAAATTGTAGTCCTGTGTTTCATAAACTCAAGAATATGAATTATTGAGAGGCCTCTCTTTTTGGCAAGAACTGTTGGGAAAACTGGAAATGAAAATTTGGAAGAAACTAGAATTGGACCAATATTTTATACTACGTATCAAAATAAACTCAAAATGGACATATGATCAGAGTATAAACTGTCATATAATTAAAAATATTATAAGCTAAAAAGATCAGGTGCTCTTTACAACAATGGGGTAGAAGGAAAATTCTTAATCAAACAAGTGATAAAGGAACAGATAATATAGAAAACTGCAACTAAATAAAATTTAAAGTCTTTTTACATGAATAACATCAATTGAAGACAGGGATAGAAGAGAAAGAGTGGAGTGGGAAAAATATTTGAAACATCACTGATAAAAATCTGATATCCAAAATAGAGAACTGACACAAATAAATAATACCAAGAGCTAGTCCCCAGGAGATGTATTCAGGGAATAGGAAGAGTTTTTAAAGGATGATTTGAAAAGCATAAATGACCATATAAAAATATACTCCAATCATTACAAGAGTAATTCTAATTAAAACACGGTTTAACTTCAATTCAAATTTGCAGACATGAAAAAAATGTGCATAGTTCATGTTGGACTGTTGGTAGAACTGTAAAATGTACCAACAGTTCTCAATACCAGTTTGAAATTATGTTAAGAAAAGTGATTAAACTGGCCATACCCTTTGAGTCAGTATTCCTATTATTGGACAGATACAACAAGTAAATCACGACAAAAGACATGAATGAAACATTTTTTAAGGTTAGAAGATACCTCTGATATCTCTCTTCTCAATATCTCCACAAAGGTCCACCTTTTTTTCTTCCTCTTCTTCCTCTTCCTCTTCACCTTCTCCAAAGGAAACCATGAGCAGCACACCAGCTTGTAACAACAAATTCTTCAACTGACTACACAGTAGATCGAGCAAGGATTGCACTACCTTAGGACTCAGTTTGTCAGCATAGGTTCTAAGGAAGAGGTCAGAGGAAACAATAAAAAATACAATTTGAAAAAGAAAACTTTTAGCAGAATATCTAAATTAAGTGTTTAGGAAAAGTAGGGCTGCTAATAATGAGGGAACAAGCACAGTAAAGAAAAATGCTTACCCAGTGGTAATGGCCAGAATCTGTAGCAGTCTCGTACTGGCTACTTTCAAAGCTATGCTAAGCTGAGAAACACCAGTTTTGGGCAACAGATGCAGAGGCTGCCCTAGCATAGTGTCCGTGCCACATAACTGTGACAGTACATTTAAGAGACCAGTAGAAATTGCCAAAGAAACATCAACTGGTTGGTAGTGAACACTCAGAGCAAAAACTGTAACCAAGAGGAGACGCTGCTGAGCTTCTAAAAAACAAGGTAAAAAGATTAAATTAGATGGTAGTCCCTAAAGGTGAAAATAATAAAGTATAAAATTCACAAAGCATAGAGTGTGGTTTTCTTACAAGTTGGTGGTTGAATACTCAATTCACTAAGCATTTACTAAGCACCTACTGTACGTAAGGCACTATTACGCTAGGCAGTGAGGATATAAAGACAAAATCAAAAACAGTCCCTGTTCTCAAGGAACATACACTAAAAAAGTGACTTTTGTAAAGCATCACTCCTCTACCAAACTCTGCCGGTTCCCTCTTACCAAATGTGAACTCCTCTATTTGACATCCCAAGCACTTTACAATCTGACCACAACTTTCCAGCCCTATTATGCCACTGCCCTTCATCCACTCGAGGGTCCAGCCAAAATGGCCTCTTACTTACATTCTTCATCAACCACACTCTATCTTCCATCACTCTGCCTCTGCAGTGGCCATCCCCCAGGCTGAGAATACATTCCCTCCTCATGTGCACCTCTTTAAACTCTTGGTTCCCTTTCAAGACCTTGCTCAAGTTCCACCTTCTTCATGAAAACTTTGTTGATCATCCTGGCTATTAGTGTCCCTCCCCACCCAGTACTCTAGATCTTTTTTGTACATACCTAAAAACATACATATTTGCCTTCTCCAATACAATATAAGTCCTTTGAGGGTATTATTTGATTTTTGTCTCTGTATTCTAAATACCTAGCCTTCAACTGTCTGGCACACAGAAGCAGCTTAAAAATAATGACTGAATGATTCCCCTTGAGGGATACATGATTGAGATTAATTGTTTCTCTACAAATCCATCCACTAATGTTACAATGCTGGTAAATCCACATTTGTGAACTTAGGACCAACTGCCATTTGCATCTGCAGTTTCACAGGCAGTTCACTCACCAATGTGGTGTTTATTTGCTTGCAGAGCTCTCTCCAAAGTTGCAGATAACTGCTGATAAATCTTATGTACAGCCACTTGAATTTCAATCTGAATATTTCTCTTAGCTGCTCTGATGCCATCCTAAGTTAAAAATAGTAATTTACTTTTTATTGATAGCAATGTCAACCCCTATCCTTGTAGAAAATATATTGTTTATTTGTTACCTAGTCTGTGCTAGAGTTTGCTTTGCCTCTAGAAGCTTTATAAGCAGAAGCATATAAACAATGTACATACATTATAATGAAAAGACTTAACAACTCCAATTGTACCTGATTCATATTTTTAATATTTCTTGGGATTACTCTCTTTCCAACAATTTGCAAATATGTGAATGCCCAAAAGATTTATGATTTTAATGAAGAGAAACCCCATGGGAACTGTTTCCACACAGTCTGTCTATGATTTAACAGGTAAGTGCTAGTGCATTGCCTGTGGCTTAACTTCAAGGTTAAATGGTTTCCTCAGGGTCATGCACCAAGTAAGCATCAGAGGAAGGATTTTAACCTAAGTGTTTCTGACTTATGTTGTCTCTCTTTCCCCACAATTTATTTTGTCTTTTAGTAAATGTTTCTTCTCATAAGGTTTAAGAATGTGTAAAAAAGAATCTGATCATGTCAATGTGGAAATATGTTTAATATGATTGCACACGTATAGCCTGTATCAGAACGCACGACCTCTTGAGGAGGAGGAGGAGGGAAGGGGAGGGATGGGAAAATTTTCGAATTCAAAATCTTATGAAAGTGAATGCTGAAAACTAAAAATAAATAAATAAATTGAAAAAAATTTTTGATCATGAAAACTTAAAAGCTGGCTTAATTAAAACTAAAATTCCCTATATTAAAAGAAATATACATATACCCATAGCCATATGCAAATAGAAAACTTCTGTCCAAATAAATTTAGAATGGAAAACCATTTAGAAAGATTAGTGTGCAAAATACTCAAAAGCTACTTCAGCAATCCTCCAACCTAGGACTGTAGAAAACTCAAATACTTTGTATTTTTAAACTTCAACTTTAGAAAATATAAAATGCGGTTATAAAACCAGATTTACAAAATGCAAAAAGCACAAGCAAAATTAACATATTTTAAGAACATAAACATAAATTGTCATACCTGATAATGATGTAATCGTACACTTTCTCCTTTGGTTCCTGCATGTCCTACTGTTCCTAAACCAAAACAGCCAGCTAGAAACTGCAGTCTAACTGATGTAAGAAGTAAAGATGACTGAAATCCTGATCCTTGCCTGCTTCCTGTTAAGGGTACGCTGCCTTTTTCCTCCATCCCAGATAGGAGAACTAGGATTTGATGAAGGGCCTCCAAGCGAAGCTTCAATAAACAAATTAAAATATAGAAGAGATTTTAAGTTTTTCCACTGAACAAAGAAACAAGGCAAATGCATACCATAGGCTATTATCATATTTTAAATTTAATTCTAACATTTCAAATATTTTATTCCATAACAATAGTTCTCATTTTAACATCTATGACTATTTTCACCAAAGAACTTTACAAAAATCTGTAAACATTATACCTTAATATCCAAGAAAAAGACAACTAAAAAAGCTCTGAAAAAGCTTTACAAAGGTGGGCAAAAATGGAACGTTTCTGGGAGATTTCTGGCCGAAATCTTCTTGCTGGACAATATTCTATTAGCGCAATCACTATGGCCTTTTTCAGTCAGATACACTGGCTAGGCCTACAAAATCCAAGTCATACTCTCATGGCTACAAACCAGTACTCATTTTATTTCCATAAAATCAGGGAAGCCTCATTTGTATTAAATATTCAGCCAAATATCTACTACAGTCATGCTTCGATTCTTGATCAAATAAATTGCTATTTTGTTTCAGTTCGGTTAAAATCATAATAATAGGAATAAGGGCACATATTCTATACGCCACAGTTCACGTCAAGTTTCAAAAATCCAAAACAGTGTTAATTTTGAACAAAACAAGATATTTTACCTCTGCCCTTAGCTGCTGCTGTTCCATTGCAATGATTGAGGCCTGGGGACTCGTGGACATACTTTCCTCTGGTTCTTTAAAACCTGGGGCATTCCCCACATCTCCACTTACAAAGCTGACAACATTTTCAATCAAAGTATGAACTCCAAGGGCCTTAGTAAGGTCAAAATCACATTCAAATGAGTAAGAGGAGCTAAACAACCAGTCTCTACTGTGTTTCAGGTGAGTCCAGGAGTCACTCAAAGGTTCCATTTGACTGTGTACAGGTCCTACATGCACAAATAATAAGGCTGTGTCAATTCCAGTGTGTAGAAAACATATTCTGAAACTAGATGAAGACTGAATGTTGCTGCTATAACAACCAGTGAAAAATGGACAGACATGTTTCAAAACAAAAGCATGCATTTAGTGAATCCAAGCAACTTTGGTTAAAATACAAACTATAGCAATGCAATAAATTAAGGAAAAAATCCTGCTTGTATACTACTGTATAATCCTATATGTGCTATAGCAAAAAGCTGACAAAAGAAAAAGGCTGAAGGTGCTTTCAAAATGTTTAGCTTAAAGTCAGAACACTAAATCAAATAGCTAGCATTTATGTAGCGCTTTAAGGTTTGCAGAGCGCTTTACAAATGTTATCTCATTTTAATCTCACAAAAAGGCTTGGAGGCGGTGCTATTGTTATCTCCATGTTACAGATGAGGAAACTGAAAAACAGAGGATAAATGATTTGCCCAGGGTCACATGGCTAGTAAGTATCTGAGACTGAATTTGAATTCAGGTCTTCCTGACTCCAAGTCTAGCACTCTACTTAGCTGCTTCTAACACTATTCAGTCAAAGATAAACACAATAAAGAAAAATTCATTCCAAAAGGAAACACCAAGTTTAGCCATAGTGGTAAGATCTTGTCTTAATGGAAGGATTGTCTTAAAAGTACCATTTATAAGCATAAAACAGCCCAATATACTTTGTAATGAAAAAATGAATGGTGAAAGGTAAAACTAACACAGAAAGGACATATGTCACTTGTTTTCTTTATACATAGAATATCCATTTTCATTAATTGCATATAATGTGTATGTATTTTAAAGTTTATAAAATTAATACCTGCAGGCAGCAAACAGCAGTTTCACAGTGAAGATTATTAAGGATTTACTATGAAATGTTTCCTGCAGCTTTGTGCTTATCTAGTGGTGCTACAATGTACATGCTAAATGAAACATCATTCATTTTACCAGTAAGCATTTTCTAATCTACTCTTAAAATGTTTAAAGTAGACTTTAAATAAATGTTAAAATTCAAGAGCACAAGAGAAAATATCCTGGAGGTTTCCAACATTGATTTTAATGTGTATACTAAGTGTCAATTTACCCTAAGTCTATAGAAAATATTATGGTTGTGGAGTTAATTCCAAAATGTTGCCATATTTTTCCATTAGGAATGCATGTGAAGGCAACAAATGCAAGAGGCAAGTACATCAGTTGTATTTGTCACCATAACTATATGGAAAGGATCTGAGAACTATACCATTTTCACACTACTTAACCACCCTCAGAAGGAAGTGAGCCAATGCCATGTGAAATTCAAAACTCTTGCAAGATTAGCAACATTTGTGTGTCAACAGCTGCATGTGAAAACCCCCAAATTGTTACGGCTTAAAAATAAGCTAAATTTTTTTAGGGAAAAAAAAGTATATTAAAAATTATTTTCAAATAATATTAAATCACAAATATAATATAAAGATTAATTGGTTTCCAGATTTTGAAAAAAACCAAAAAATTAAAGTTAAGCTTTGAGCAACTTACTAAGTTAAAACTATTTTGCAAAGGAAATTCACAATTTGTATTATAAAGCTAAATATTTATTTCTACAAATGAGAAAATAAATGGTGTGAAAATATGAAATAATATCATAAATACATAATATATCAAATAATAAAGGATAAATAATGCTGGGAATGTACAAAAAAGAATACATTCCTTTCCCCCATCCCAAAATTCAGAGCAATAATGTTCTAGTCCCTTGTTTATGTTTTGCTCTAATTTTTCAACAAATTTCAAAATTTCAATTTTCTTTTTAATTCCTAATACATATGTTCTTATTTGATGATAAATTTACAATACATAAAAATATTACTTACATTTATATTCATATGTAATTATTAAAGTAGATATACTGTCATCTGCCTTCACTCTGCATCCTAAGGACCCCTGGGCTTTTCCCTCTACCCTGGAGTTAAAATGTTCTATATGAGTTGTCTTCCTCACTATTAGAATTTGAGCTCCTTGATAGTACAGATTGAACTGCTTTTCTTTTGCATCCCCAGCACTTAGCAGAGTGCTTTCCACATAGTAAATGTTTTTTCATTCTTTCATAGAGCAGGGACAGACCTGAGCAATCAGGCCATTTATTATGAGCTCCCTCTTCTCCCCTCATCCTCATCTCCTACCACTCAGGTGCCTTCTGCCACTTTCCTCCTTTACCCATCTCACATGATGAGGTGGCTTTACTCCTTTATCAAGGCTAACCCATCTACCTACTCAAGCGATCCTATTCCCATTGCCCCTCTGTCATCCCCATTCTAACATTTAGTTTCAGTCTCTCTGTCTACTGGCTCCTTCACTACTGCCTACAAATATTCATCTCTCCCATACATACACATGTATATATGTACATACACACATATGTATATATGTACACACACATGTATATGTGTACACACACATATGTCTATGTATGTGTGTATGTGTGTATGCATGCATGTGTGTGTGTGTGTGTGTGTGTATGTCTTCTGCCTTTGTGGCTAATCTCCTTGAAAAAGCAGCCTGCAATAGGGCCTCCACCTTCTTTCTTCCCACTATCTTCTTACTACACTACAATCTGGCTTCTGACCTTATCATTCCAACAAAACTGCTCTCTTCAAAGTTATCAACTAGCTCTTAAGTGCCAAATCCAATAGCCTTTTTCAATCCTCATTCTCCTCAATCTTTTTGCATCCTTTGACACTGTGGATCAGTCTTTTCTTGCTACTCTCTTTTCTCTAGGTTTTCAGCACACCTCTCCACTCCTGGTTCTCGTCTCACCTATCAAGATGTCTCTTTTCCATATCCTCTGCTGGATCTTCATCCATATCACACCCTCCTACCTAAGTGTCCCTCAGGGTCCTTGTCGTGTGCCCTCATTCTCTTCTCCTTCTATGCTATAATTGGTGATCTCTCATCGGCTGCCACGGATTTAATTGCCATCTCTATGTTGATGATTCTCAAGTCTATCTATCCGGCCCCAACATCTCTGCTGACCTCCAATTTCACATTCCTAACTTCAGTAGACATCTTAAACTCAACATTTCTAAAGATGAACTCATTAGCTTTCCCCCCTCCACCCGGTTGATTACCTTTCCTTACTGGTACAGAAAGCAACACTGTTCTCCCATCCCTCAAGCTCAAAACATAGATGTCAATTCCAACTTTATTCTCTCTCATCCCTCATATCCAAACTGTTGCCAAGATCTGTCAATTTTACCTTTACAACATCTCTTGAATTCATCTCCTCTTTCCTCTGACAATGCCATCACTCTAGTGCAGGCACCCTCATCACTTTTGCCTGCCTTAAGTCTCTCCCGACTCTAACCCATCCTCCATTCAGTCACTGAATTTTTTTTCTTCCCTAAAGCACAGGTTCAACCATTTCACTGTCCTACTCAATAAACTCCAATGGCTACCTATCATTTCTATGATCAAATACAAAATCCTCTGTTTGGCATTCAAAACTCTTCATAACCTAGCCTCCTAGTCCCGGCCATGTACTCTTCAGTACAGCGGCACTGGCCTCTGGCTGTTCCTTGAACAAGATGCTCCAGGCATTTTCTCTGGCTGTCTGACATGCCTAGAATGTTCTTCCTCATTATCTCCACTTACTGGCTTTCCTGGCTTCCCTGGCTTCCTTTAAGTCCTAACTAAAATTCCATCTTCTACAGGAAGTTTTTTCCAACCTCTCTTAATTCTAGTACTTTCTTTCATTTCCTGTTAATCCTATATTATAACTTGTTCGTTTACTTGTTGTCTCCAGCCATCAGACTGTCAGCTCTTTATGTGAACAGATTATCTTTTGCCTCTTTTTGTATCCCCAGTGCTTCACACAGAGCCCAGCAGAAGCTTAATAAATGTTTATTGACTGACTTAAATTTACAGATGAGGAAACTGAAAACCAGAGAAAGTAAGTGATAGGCCCAAGTTAAAAGGACAACATCAATTCTTCAATAATAGAAGTGATCCTTGGAATTATAGGCAGTATTGCTAATTCGTACTTTCCTCACCGATATGTTGGAAACTTCAATTTCCAACATCAGTTAATGATAAAGGATAACAGTATATAGCATCAAGATCTCTGAAAATGCTAATTAACAACTAATCAAGATCAAAATTCCATCTTTTTAGTAAGTCAGAGGAAAAATCTAGTATAATTCTAAAAACAATTATTAAAATAAAGATCAAGAAAAATAATGTTCCATCTATAAGCTGCAAAATGAAAATATGAAAAAAATGTTCATTCAGCAACTTTTTTTTTCTTTACCAAAAATACTTTTAAAAACTGAAACCTACAAACATGGAAATGCAATATGGACAAGTACTCAATCTTTTGAAAAAAGTGTATTAAAGCAATCAGTTAAGTTCATCTGACATATTTTTGTATCTGATTACCCAAAAAGAGAGCATGAAAAGATGCATCAAAAAATTTCTGTAATGTATTTGGCCCCAAAAACCCAATTCCCTCCAAACACTGAATTCATAAGATTGTGACTACACAAGAAAACACAATACAAAGTCCATGGTTTTAAAAAATTTGTGGGAAAAAAACTAAATGTTTACTTATCCTTATAACTTAGCTCCTAAAATGGAATTTTCTAAATGAATGTGGCACGGCTGCAATACATACTTTATAAATCATAAAATATGTAGGCAAGCTAGAAGAAGAAAAAAGTAAACATGCCATCATGTACTTGCTTGAAGCTCTTCTTTTTTCTGGGGCTCAACTGGCCAAAAAGGAGTAAGTACACTACCACATGAGAATCAGAAGACAAAAGGAAACATTTCATAAAGGAGACAACATTTATTATTTTTTTTTCTTTCTTTATACAACCCAAACTTGAAATGCATAGTTAAAATGGCATATCACTCATATACGATACACCAAGTAGTATAAATTTTGAAGGAGTTATTTCCAAAGTTAATCTTAATAAGGCTGTATTACTAAATTTAAGGAATTTAAAAACCAGAATAAAACACCAATGTTGCTTCTTAATTTTATCTTCACTATTCTTCACTATGAATGTTTACTATGAATGTTTCAGCCTACATTTGATGACCTCATGGCATCAGATGATTTAGAACTTAATCAAACAGGCTCATTTTACATATGAGGGAAACTGAGCCCCTGAAAAGAACTTAATTTAGGTCACAGAATAGTAGCAGAGGTCAGAAAGAGTAGATCAATTTGCAAAAAAGTATGACAACGTGTGAATGATCAGATAGACGTTACCTGAATACAGAAGTTTTAAGCACCATTCAAACCCAAAAACAGTGCTAGACTTGACACATTTCACACAATTAGAAAGGTTCCATTACTTCTAGGATGTTTCATTTACTCTGAATTGAATGGACTTTTGAACATAGAGGCAGCTTTCAAAATTTTGCTTTGATTACTTTGAAAAGCAGGTAAATGAATTTATTTACATACATAATTTTTCTGTTTCTTAAGTGGATATATAACTATTTTTTAAAAAACAGGTGCTTAATCATATAGTAACATAATTGCAGAAGCAAAAAGTAGGGGCAGTCCAAAACACAATTTCACCTAGGGCAGACTACTATGCAGATCACCATCAACTCAGAAGAAAGCCTGTGAAGGCTTAGTAAGTATCTGAAAAGCAATCGGTATTCATTAACTCTCTCAACCACTGATCCAATTACTTTTGGAAAAAGAATTCAACGAAACATAATCCTACTAAGACGACGTCAAGAGTTTGGGACTATCCCTGCTAATAAATGTAGATAGCCAGGGGATCAAATTACATGATTACATGGAAAAATGTGTGTGTGTGTATGTGTGTGTGTGTGTGTGTGTGTGTGTGTGTGTGTAATTTCTTCCTCAAAATTAGGAGGAATATAAAAAATGAAAAATACACACATCAATATCTTCATAGGTTGAAGTTTGTTTATTATGCTTACATCAGATACAGAATTAACACTATAAATGATTTGAATGGCTCTAAAAGATTCTAAACACGTGTAGGACCATGTAGCTGCTGGCAAACCGGTGCAACTACTTGCAAGTGAGCTCTGACAAACAGATTTCTACTCTATAACTGCACTAACCAAAGAAAAGTTGATGTACTCTAACCATAACAACTTCAAGGTAAAGAGGGTAATATTTTGCATATAGCAAAAACATCAAAAGAAAAATGACTTCCTGTAAAAAGTACTTGGAAATATGCCAGCGATGGGACATAACATCTTAGAGCTATAAGGGACCTTAGAAATCACCTAGTCAAAAAGCCACATTTTACAGATAAGAAAATCAAGGTTCAGAGAGATTAAGAAAGATGTCCAAGGTCACACAACTGGTGAGGGACAAACTCAGGAGTCCCAACTTCCAACCCAGGTTTCTTTCCACTACTATCTCATATCAGCTTTCATTTATCAAATATTGGACTGTTTTCATTAAGGCAGTTCGCCAAGATGAAGTGTCATCACTAAATGTGGTACAATTTAATGTGAATTAATTCCCAACATGCTTTTTATAGGATAAGAGATTATAATCTAAAAATTCCTAGATGCTAGGATATATAATATTGAAAAATAGTAACTTACATTACTTGTTAACTTTCCTTTTGCCTCACCAGACATTCCAGAGACAGCAAAATACAGTGGAAGAAGTGCTGGTCAAAACAGACCAGAATTCAAAGCCCACCTCTGTCCCAGCTGTATGACTGGCATGACAAGTTATTTTGCCTCTCTAAATCTCAATCTTAACGTCCTCATGTGTAAAATGGGTAATAAGGTTACTAATTACACTTATTTCAAAGGGTTATTCTGGGTACCAAATGAGAAAATGTGTATCAAGTACTTTGCAATCCTTAAATTACCATATAAATGCAGGTCATTATTATTAGATATTTAGCTTTGCAAACAAAAATCAGTAAAAATGGTTTAACTATGGCTAATCAGCATAAATAGTTTAAATATTTAAAAGTTACATTATGCAGTGAGTAAGTACTATGGACATTTTATTTTTAAAAGTCCATAAAAATTTTGTCCCATAACTTATTCATATTTAGATTCCATTTGACCTACCCTCTCTCAAGAATGCTACACTTTTATTTCCTCAATTTTCAACTACACAATACTGCTGACAAGTATGCAGCTCGAGTTATTTGGAGTAAAAATGAAATTTATAATCAAATTCTGAAATAAGAATTCAATTCCTTTATTTTTCTACATGGAATAGCATAACAAAAAGTCTCCTGTTTCTAAACCGAAAGGAACTCAAAAGCTATGAAAACTAAGACATTTATCATTCTCCCCCTCTAGATTTTTACAGACATTAAATCTAAGTAAAAAAGTTATAGGGCACTTACTATATCAAAAAATCATAGGATCTAGATCAAGACTCTGAAGGGACCTCACATGACCCTCACTCATCCAATCACCTCAACCTACAGATGAGGAAACAGATTCCCAGTAAGGTAAATGGCCTGTCCAAGGTCACACAAGTAGTGTGGGAAACGACATTCACAGCTGGGAAATGAGCTCAAGTTTTCTGACTCAAGAGCCAGTGCTCCTTCCACTGTATTATACTACCTCCCCTAAGGAGTGGTTGAGTGGGTGTACACACATATGTACTACATGCAAAAGTGTGTGTGTGCGTGTGTGTGTGTGTGTGCGTGCACATGCAAAAATTTGTGGAAAGGAATGGAGGAGACATTTCATTTTTAAATTCAAAAAATTATTAAAACTTTCAAAGAGAAACATTCCAATGTGGGTTTTTAAGCATTGTCGATAAAGAAAATTTTCCAACAGATTTTTGCATAACTATAACCACAAGTAAGTTTAAGATAGGTACCAATTGTGGAAGTTCTGCTATGTGGAATATCGGAAAAAAGAGAATTTAATGTTATGAATTACTTTTCAAATGATCATTTTCTTGGTATATCTCATATAGATCTGCTCTCCTTATTTCCATTCACAAAGCTAAACAAGAACTGACTATATATACATATATATATATATCCACTACATATTCTATATATATATCTCTATCCACTATATCAAATGCTTTAAGTAAGGCTTGATGATAGCATAAAATTGCTTCCTTAATCCAAAGTAGGGAGAAGAGTGAACCTCACACACACCAATTATCTCTCGTTAGCTTTATCCATAGATACCAGCCAAAGAATATAAAAAAGAAATCTTTCAGGTTTTTGGATACTACTTAAGTTCTAGAAGCTCTATGATATAGTTAAAAGGTTATTTACATACAATGAATTACACCTCAAGGACAAGTAAATGTAATATATTATGTTTACAGAACTTTCTAGCATCTCTGATATGACTAGAAATTGACACAGTAAGTTATGCTGAACTGAATATTACTGATTGCTAAAGACTTTCAGATAAGCAAGGAATATTTTTTAAATGTTTTCCTTTTAATCTATTCTGATTCAATACTCATACCTAATTTATTCTTCTAATGATATAAGTTACTAATTCAATGTTAATTATTCTAAAGTAAGACAAAGGTTTATTAACAACTACATAATTTGATCTAATACGTAAGACAATGATACTTACCTCTCTTTCTGTGAGAAGTCAAGTTAAAATCTACATTTCGTCTTCCACTCTATAAAGTTAAAGGAAAACAAAACCTATTCAGTTGTGAAATCAAAAGTAATTTTCAATTTAATAATTTGAGCTTTAAAGGGAGAAAAAAAATAATACAGACAATAACGCCCTATTTCACCAGCTGTCACATCTGTAGCAACTTGAACCTGCTACAAAGGTTCTAAAGAGCCTTCTAGCTGTGCTGAACTAAAAGCCTCAAAGTCTTTAAGTTAAAGACCTATGAAAATATGTCACAAGGCCCATTTACTTGGCTTCTCAGCTCCTTCTCAGGCTCTCTCATAACTAGGGCATTTCTCTGGGCTAGGTGCAGACCTACCATTTCATAGGATTTTTGAACTTTCCAACAGTCTCAGAGAGTTGAGTTAATGTGGATAACTGAGAGGTTAACTGACTTGCCCATAGTCACTTATGGTATGTATCAAAAACAGGAAGTAAGCCAGGTCTTCTTGGCTTCAAAGCTATCCTCTTATCCACTATACGAAGGACTGGGAGTAAGGTTATTTTCTAAAATTACCTTTGCCTATTCTGCGCCCCCACCCCCCCCCCCCCCCCCCCCCCCCCCCCAGCTTAAAAACCTCCACTGATCTCTGCAAGTTGTTAGAAAAAAGCAATTTTACTGAAGTAACTTACATTAAGGAGAAAATGATCGATAGACTTTATTCTTTCAATGGCATCTACATTTTAAATGATCTCTTAACTTAATGAATCTCCAACTGGTGAAATTTTAGGAATATAGCTTAAATACATATTTTCCTTTGGCAACTTCAATTCTGCCCTATTATGTAATGCCAGAGTGAGAAGTAAATTATACTGGAGAGAAAATGAGATACCTTCACTCTGCAGCTCAAATAGAGACCTCCCCTCATATTGTATTTAAACAGTTTGTATAGGGTATAAAGAAACTAGCTAAAATAAGTGGAAGCCACTTAGTATAGGGGCAAACATCCCTACATACTTCCATAGCCCCGATAATATTACTATATCATAGTAAATAGTAATCAAAAAGTTAAAATTTTGTTTATAACTCTTCACTAAAGTGGAAAAAGAGAATTCTTTTTTTTTAACTTAGGAACTTCAATTTAATTAAAATACTAAGGATTTGCCTCTTAATTTTGTTTTGTTTTCAAACTGGGGATGAAGAAAACCTCGATCCCTCAATAAGTAGTATTTTTTGAAAAAGGATGGTGGTAGTGAATAGAAAATAGAACCTAGACCCTCTTTGCTTCTTTTATCTTCATTTATCAGTTCCTTTCCAGAGTGAAACTGTTCTCAAATGCATAGATTTTCTTCTCTTTTTTTTACTTTTTGTATGGAATCAGAAGCATCTATAAGTTTCAGGAGATGTTTTCTTTTTCATTTGACAAGTATGTTACTTTTGGATTCTTTAAAAAAATTTTTTTTATATTTTGACATTCTAAGATCCATTTTATTTTTAATAGCATTTTATTTTTTCCAATTACATGTAAAGACAATTTTTAGTATTTGGGTTTTTTTTAAATTTTGAGTTCTCAATTTTTCTGTCTCCCTCCCTTCCCAAAATGGTAAACAATTTGATATTGGTTATATATAGAATTCATTTTTTTTTAGAATTCATTTTTAAAAGAGATTTCTTTTAGCAATAAAAGTTTTTCAAGGTTTAAAGATTAAGATTCTTCTGTATGGGAAAATTTCTTATTCAGAATTCTTCATTCCTCAATTTGGTTGTTATTCAGTCATTTCAGTCCTGTCCAACTCTTTGTGACCCCATTTAGGGTTTTCCTGGCAAAGATAGAAGGGTTTGCCATTTTCTTCTCCAGCTCATTTTACAGATGAGGAAACTGAGACATGGAGGGTTAAATAACTTTCCCAGGGTCACACTGCTATTAAATGTCTGAGGCCAGATTTGAACTCACGAAGATGAGTCTTCCTGACCCCAGGCCTGATACTCTATCTACTGCACCACCCTGTTGCCTTTCATTCCTCAAAAAAGCAGGATAAATGAGGCAGTACTGTATTGATTGACTTTCAAATGTCAGAAAATGGAACTTTAGACATTACAACAAATTGTACCACTTATCTTGCTCAGTTAAGAGAAAAAATGTCTCATCTACTTTAATTTACCTTTCTCAATCCCAGGGAAGTTATGAGCTAATTACAAAGATACAAAAGGCAGCTTTTCTCAGACTAATGTTTTGAATCACTTTTAGAAATGTGTACATTGCTAGCATGTTGTGGAGAAATAAGAGAACTGAACACAAGTTAGAATGGAAAAGTTTACAAAATAGGGAAGTTGGACAAAATGTGTAAGTAGGACAGCTCTATACTTCCTTTATAAGGACTTCAGCAAATGGCTTCACTCTTTTGTCTGAAATTATATAAAATAATCAAATATCCCAACTTACAAAATAACTGGAAGTATGCCAAATAAATTACTGTATTATCAATGCCACTGTTCTCCTCTATTAGGGAAAATATAAGATTTCTGTATTTTTTAAACGTTCACATTTATAAATTTTTCTTATAAGAAAGGTAATTTTCTGTAAAGACAATCTTTATATTGATCTAATTAAAGTTTACTAAAAAAAATCAACATCTACTATGCCCCAAGCTTCATGTGTTTCTTAATATACACTGAAGACAAAAATATCCTCTTTACAGAAACTAAGGATGACAAAAAATCCTTTTCACTTACCAGTGAGTAACCCTCTTCATCTGATTCAGGCTGAGATAAATCAGATTCACTCCTTGATTTGATCAGTCTATAATTCGGACTTGCATGAACTGAGCGGCTCTCTGCAGTAAGACTTTCACTCCTGCCTCACACATGTACACACACAAAAATTTTTTTTTTCAATTTGAGATTGTGAGAAGGTAAAATTAAACAGCATTAACAAAACAGATAATATACTGATTGTGAAGGATCCTTTGTCTATCAAAGAAACATCTTGACTATTCAGTAATAAAAGGGACCTTTCACTCACACTGAAGTAACATACATGCTTCTCTTTTTGAATATAAAGCTACCTAGAGATAAAAGTAAATTTATATTTGCCTCAGCTACAGTTCTTAATAACAGAGTGTTCAGTCTCCTTTAACTCAAAAACTACTTGCTAGTTTAAGTCACTGCTACTGACTACATTACTTCAAATTCAATACAACCAATTTCATCCACATCTTTTTTTATATCAGTTCAATTTACATTTAAAAAAACAGTCATGAGGAAACAAAGTAGCAAGAATGGCAGAAACAAAAGAGAACCTAGTTAACTTGCCAGCACTTCCTACCTGGTCATAAGTAAAACTCCATCAGAGGTACTTGTTGTTGGCGGCTGCAACTGTCCTTCCTCTTTTCGCTTTTGAAGCTCTTCTATAACAGGACTTACTCCTAATATTAACAAGGCACATCGATGGATCACAGAATTGCATGCAGCAGTATACACATCCTGGCCCTCTGGAAGATCTGTGCTGACCCTTCGCTCCTGTTGAGACTGAGGAGGCTGATCATCAACACGAGTCCCAGACCCTGCCCCAGTGTTCATTCTATCTCGGTCCCGGCTGCGTGCTACTTCACGGGCTGATAGGAAACATTGAAAGATTTCTGTAATAATGCAACACAAAAACAAGGTCTTAACACATAGGGGAATAAAAGCAAAGAAAAATGCATTTAAAATAGTAAATACATGTGGACCAAACACTCAATGAGACTTTTTTTAAAAAAAATCATGCTATTTAATCATACACAAATAAGTTAATTTCTTCAAAAATTAGTAATCCACAGTTGTATTATCTTATTTTTACAATTATTTGAATAAGCTGAAAGGAGCAGTAAAACACCTTACCTTTGTTTCAACTTCTACTCCCACTAAAGGAGAGTTAGCTAAAAGGCATTGTTAAAAGACATTATCAAATTTACTTAAATGATTAAAGCCTTTATATCCAGGGTCAAGTTATAAAAGGTAATAAGAAACTGACATGTAACCTAAGTTATAATTAAATAATTTTTTTCTCCTATGAGGTTCTGTTAATACCTACCAAAGTTCCTGCCTATGATGATTTTTAAAAGACTAGCATATATGAAAATGCTCACTTAGCAAAGTTATTAATGTAATATTACATTTTACCATAACCCAATCAATCAACAAATATTTGTTAAGTGACTCCTACAGGAAACCATCATGCCAAAAGTAAGGCTAATAAGAAATAAACACATGATCACTTCCCATCAAGGAATATGTAACCACATGGGAGAAAAAAGACAAACACATGAAAAGATAACTAATAATACCAATCAATGATCCATGCCCAATATGTGACATGAACAATAACTCCAACCCAGATTTTTTCATATAGCCTAGCAGCAGCAGCCTAAATTGCACACATACAATTTAGGTTACATATTAACATCCTTTTTTTGCCAAAGATGAATGTGTCGATCAAAAACTACTATGTTTCAAAGAACTTTGACAATTTTCTTTAAATATCTAAATATCAGATAGCAACTAAAAACTATCTTTCAAGACTATAAAATTTAAAAAGACCCAAAAAAATCTATTCACCTGGCAAACGATGTACTATATAAGTGGTTCCAGATTCTACAGAAAGCAACATAACATTCACATGGGTAACGTTTTACAGCTGAAAGAAGGCAGCTGCCAGGTTTTCACAAAGAATATATTTTCAAGAAATGTGTTCCTTTCCATCATACAAGAATTTACAAGGTTGCCAGACATTTTTACCACCCACAAGGTATGCTACAGAAGACCCGAAATGACACAAGTTGTGACAACCTTTAAGAAGTTAAAGTGAGTGGCAAAGCTTTCCGAAATCTAATTGCATGGTCTCTGAGCTTTTAAGTCTGAATAATTAAGTAAACAGGCAACTTCAAAAAGGTGACCCAGGATGTGTATCTATTGAATCTCTGGCAACATTCAACTCATCTACAAATGAATAACAGTAAGATTAAACTAACACTGAATTGTCATTAATTAAATTCGAATTAGTTGAATATAATAAGTCTAAAGACCATGTTGTATTTAAATTTAGCCACAAAGGTTTTTCTGTACACAACACACACACACACACACACACACACACGAAGGCAGTTTTAACAACTATTATATCATTTTATATGATGTATACGATTGTCTTCAATTCATATAAAATAAAGATCATAACTGATAACTAGGGTATAACCACCTTTTAAATACAGATCAAGTACTCACAAACCCAAAGTATAACATTTTTATATATATATATATATTTGAAAACTGTACTTACTACCAGCTGTCATAACTTCATGCTCCCTCTCCTCTTCCTCATCTCCTTGCTCTGGATGTCCTTCTTCTCGGTCTCTCTCTGCTTGCTCTTCCATCTCAGCTTCTTCATCAATGGTTCGGGTAAAGGAATGCTCCTGTGCATCAGTATCTGCGGATTCCTGGTTTTCGGAAATCTTGAAAAAAAAAATTAAAAATCACTTAATGAAAATTATTTTCTCAAGCCTTAGAGTACAGTATTCCTATCATTTTTATTTATGGAAAAATACCAAGATAAATAATGCACACATTTTCCTATGAATATCTAAATACAAAGGTTTACAAAGAGTAAAAGGAGTACATATATTTTTTCTCTTCTGAGGTTTTCCTAAGAAGACTCTAGTATAAAATTCACCTACATCTTCGGTATATAATAAAATTTAGGCTGTGCTAATTTATTAGCACAGCACTCCAAGACCAAGAAGAAGTTTAATGAACAGGACTTTACAAGAATCAGTAAATAAGCATTTACTAAATGCCTACTATATGCCAGACACTGGAGACATAAAGACAAAACTAAAACAGTCCCTGCCCTTAAGAAGCTTGCCATCATGAGACACAACATACATATCTCTAAGAATATAGGAGGGGGGAAAGATACCAAAGTAGTTTGGAAGAGGAATGCACTAGCATCTGGGGAGATTAAGAAAAATTTCATGAAGGTGACAGCCCTTGAGCAGAGTCTTTAAAGAAACTCAGGCTTTGGGGGCAGCTAGGTGGCACAGTGGATAGAGCACTGGCCCTGGAGTCAGGAGGACTTGAGTTCAAATCTGGCCTCAGATACATAACACTCACTAGCTGTGTGACTCTGGGCAAGTCACTTAACCCCATCTGCCTCACCCCCCCCCCCCAAAATGATGAAATTTTAAAAATTAAAAAAAAAAAATAAAGAAGCTCAGGCTTCTAAGGGTCAGAGAATGCACGTGTCAGGCATGACAGCTGGCAGGACAGAGGCATGGAGATGGTAGACGGAGGCTCAGTCATGAGTTTTCAGTGAGACACACAATCTGAATGGACTAAGCATGAATGACAGCAAGGATGATGGAATAAGGCTGGACAGTTAGGCTGGGGTTTTGAATGCCAAATGAAGGCATTTCTATTTGATCCCAGAGGTACAAGGGAGCCTCTGAAGTTTCTATAGGATAGGAGTTAAGCTGTCAGACCCATGCTTTATAAAAAGCACTTTGGCAGCTGTGAGGAAGGCAGACTACACTGCGGAGCAACTTGAGCCAAGAAGACCAATTAAAAAGACAGCACGACAAAGTTTAAGCAAGCAGTGATGAGGGGCCAAACTAGGATGTTGTAATGCAAGTGGAGAGAAGAGGAAAGAAGACAGTATGGGGATCACAATGATAAAATATGGCAAGTGTATACGTAAAGTAAAAATAAGGATTTGGTAATGACACAGAGGTTACAAACATGAGTGACTAGAAGAATGGTAATTTAGAAAATGGAATTTCAAAAAAGGGATGGGTTTGGGATAATGGTAATGAATTCTATATAAAATAATTTTTTTGAGGCAATTAGAGTTAAGTGACTTGCCTAGGGTCACACAGGTAGTTAAGTGTCTGAGGCCAAATCTGAAGTCAGGTCCTCCTGACTCCCCGGCAGGTGCTCTATCCACTAGGCCACCTAGCTACCCCTTTATAAATGATTTTTAAACAATATTGCTCAAGCTGTTTCTGTTACTACTACCATATATAAGTACTTATTATCTATATGAAGAAAACAAGAAAACTTCAGAGGAAGGGGGATTTAATCTTTTAAATTCTCACATATCTATAAAGCTAGAAAGATAGCAGTTAAAAACAAAACAGTAGATCAGCTAAAGAGTTTAGATACATAGAAGCAAATGAACACAAATAGTATAGTGACTGATAAACTCAAAGACTACAACTACTGCAATAAAAGCTCACTAATCAACAAAAAATAACTGGGAAAACTAGAATGTAGTTTGGCAGACATTACGTTAAGACCAACCAATTAAGACTACATAATGCAAAAAACTCTAAACGGATACATGATTTAGATATAAAGGGTCACATCACAAACAAATTAAGAGGAGTGAGGAAGGAAATATTTTTTGACTTGTAAAAAGTTCATGACCAAACAAGGGTATGACAGGTGATAAAATGGACAGTGTTGATTACATAAAACTCAAAAGATTTTGGATAAACAAAATCAATGCAATAGTTACAATTAAAAGGAAAATCAATGGAGTTAAAATTAGAAGGAAAATAGTTAACTGAGAAAAAGTTTTGCACCAAGTTTCTCTGATAAAAGGTCAGTTATCCAAGATATATAAGGCACTGATTAAATATATGAGAGTCATTTTCGAATAGGTGAATGATCAAAGAAGAACAAGCTGTTCTCAAACGAAGAAACTGAAGCCATCAACAGCCATATTTTTAAAAAAATTCCAATTACTAATAAGAGGAATGCAAATTAAAACAATTCTTGAGTTTTCCCCTCAAACCCATCAGATTGGCAAAAATGACAAAAAAAAGAACGTACTGTTGGTGGAGCTATGAATTGCTACACCTATTCTGAAAAGCAATTTGGAACTATGCCCCAAACATCACTAAACTGTTCACATTTTTTGACCCAAGAATACTACCACTAGGCCTATACTCCAAAGAGAAAAAAGAAAAGAGGGAAAAGAAAGACTCATATGTACAAAAACATTTTAGCTGCTCTACTTGCAGTAGCAAAGAGATGGAAACTCATGGAGTGCCTACTAACTGGGAAATGGAAAATGTAAAAATATGCAAAGGAGAGCTTCTGAGAAAATTAAAAGAACTTGTATAAAGTGATGCAGAGTAAATTAGGCCTAACCAAAAGAACTATTTATGCAACATTTTTGGGATGGAGGTTGGCGGGGAGGGACAGAACCATGAAAGACTTAAGGAATCTGACAGATAAATTACCAGTCACAACTCCAGAGGATCATTAATGAAACATACTACTCAACTCCTGCCAGAGATGTAATGATTCTAAGCTGTAGACTAAGACATACTTTATGACATGGCCAATTTGCTTGACTTTGCCTATTTGGTAAAAGAATTTTGGTTCTCCTTTTTCACTTTTCCAGTAAAGGGGAGTAGCAGTAGTACTGTCAAAACAAGTAAGAAAAGAAGTTACCAAAAATTTCTTTAACATGCATAGAAACAAACAGAAGGAAGTTCAGAAAGAAAAAGATGAACAATATAACTTTGAAAGTAACATTGAATTAATTATATACTTCAAAAGAAAAGCAAATTGTATGTAATAGACATTGACAGTTTTGTGTACCATCTTCAAATATTCCTTCCTTGTACATGGAAATGCATGTTTAAATTTGATGTTTAATAACTGCACACGTACAATCTATATCTGATTGTTTACCATCTTAGGAAGGAGAGCGGGATAGAGTTTGGAACTTTTAATAAAAATGAAGGAAAAAAAATTCAGAAAAATAAATAAATAAATAAGTTTGGTGTTTAAGTTCAGAATTTAATTAAAAAAAAAAAAAAAAAAAAAAAAGCATAGGGACATCTAGGTGGATAGAGTCCCGGCCCTGGAGTCAGGAGGACTAGAGTTCAAATCTGGCCTCAGACACTTGACATTTATTGTGTGATCCTGGGCAAGTCACTTAACCCCGAATGCCTTGCCCCCCCCCCCCAAAAAAAGGTAGCAGATATTGTATGAGGTCCCCTATCTTATACAGTAAAAAGGTTGTAATATGATTAAGGAACAAGCAGAAACTGATCTATTACATGCTTAACTATATCCCCAAATCAAATTTTCTTTGTTCTATTTAAATCTGGGTTAAGGAATATTAGGATCATCAGAGCAATAGGAGCTAGATTATAATTTCACTGATAAAAGGAACTCCCATATAAGAAAACTCCCTTTACCTTTACTAATGCAGGTTGGCATTTCTCTTCAACTTAAAATCTTAAAAGAATTGCCTAGAGTGGTCAAATGGGAAAAAATCCTTGTATCAACTTTCTCTAACAAGGGTTTGTTAATCAAGATACATAAACAATAAATACATGTAAAACTAATAGCCATTCCCCAATAGATAAGTGATCAAAGGACAAGAACAAACAATTCTCAAAAGAATTGCAAAGTATTCACAACCACATGAAAGAATGCTCCAAATCATTAATAAGAGAAATGTAAATTTCTCTTGAAACCTCACATACTACAAGTAGCAAAGATGACAAAAAATGGCAACTATCAATCACAGAGGGGTTGCAGGATGATAGGCACACTAATACATTGTTGGTGGAGATATGACATGGTACAACCATTTTGGAAAACGATTTGGAATTACGAAAATAAAGTCACTAAAATATCTATACTCTTTTAAACTGACATTCTATTACTGGGCTTATATACCAAAAAAAACAAAAAAAAACAAAAAACAAAACCATCAATAAGAAGAAAGTCCCCATATACTCCAAAATATTTACAGCAGAACTTTTTGAGATAACTAAGAACTGGAAACAAAGTAAATGCCCATCAACTGGAGAATGGCTAAACAAATCACAGTGCATGAATATAATGGAATATTACATATATAAGAAATTATATATGTGATGAATGCAGAAGCATTCATGAGCTTATGCACAGTGAAGTAAGCAGAGTCAAGAAAATAATATGCACAGAAACTACAACAATGTAAATGGAAAGAACAATGAAATAACCAAAAAAATCAAAACTTTATAATACAAAATTATAAAGAAGAAGCAAGACTCAATGAAGAGATACGACAGGACACTCCAAGTCACTTCTTCATGGAGGTGGGAGGTCCACAGGTATAGTATGTTGCACATTTTCAGGTTTTTTAAATATATTGATCATTTGTACTAATTGTTTTCATCTTCTTTTTCTTTTTTTATCTTTTAAAAAATACTATTTGTTATATAAGCTAGTTCTTGGGGGGGGTAGGGTGGGAAACTATTATAATCTAAAAAAAGTAGATATCAATAAAAATTTATTTTAAAAAAGAGCTGCCTAGAGCACCAAGTGATTTGACCAGGGTGACGTGATAATGGTGAGACTCAAACATAGGTCTTCCTTGCTCTAACTAGGACCCTTAGTATTGCCTATTAACAATACAACAATAACAACAAGGTCTAAATTAACTAAATTTTAGCTATATAATATAAATTTCAAAATATGCTTAGATTTCTTAAAAACTAAAGGTTCCTTAAAATGGAGCACAAAATAACAAAAACAATGACAAAGCAAATATTTCTAAAGGACATTTCTATGATATCTTGCATTGTATTTATAAATACAGAATCAAAGAATCTTATATTGAGAAGAGACCATGCAACATGGCATTTAAGCCAGATTCCCCTGTAATCCAAGAAGCTCTTCTATACTCTTACTGATATTATTCAGCCTCAATTTTTGTTACTGTTAGTGACAAGGCAACCCTTACTATCTCTAGACAGCCACGGCTATCTGAAAGTTGTTGAGGGAATTTTGAGCCTTTGCCTCCATTACCTACATTGACAAAGCAGACTTTTCTATTATCAGACAGTCCATATTATTTGAAAGTTGTTGGTCTGGATTTTTTTTTTGGCTGTTAAAAGCTAAAATCTGTCTCTTGGTAATTGCAACCTGTTGATCTAAGGGTTCTGCCTTAGAATTCAGGGAGAAGGAAGAAGGTAGTTGAAGCATGGTGGCAAAGTTCAGAGAAAGAAGCACGATTCGGATTATTATTTTCCATGATTAAACATGATACTGTTATCAAAGGAGTCCTAAGACTGCAACAGCTTCTGGAGTAGTTCCATCACAGTTGCACCAGTGCTTAATAATAATAAGCCTGTGCTTAACTAAAACCTTGAGATCATTTCTTTCATTCAAGCATTTTTTGAACACTAAACTCCACACAAGGCACATCTTTTTCATATAAATGATTTCTAATCTTACCCATCGGTCTCTTGAAGATGACCTAGTTTGAATGAGTTCCATGTTCTTACAAGCAAGTAAACGACTTCGAACTTTATACACACAACGGTATACTTCTGCTAAGGTTTTACCCGGTTGATACCTAAGTAAAGAAGGACAGTTATAACTTCTAGTATTATTGGTGAAAACTGTTCTGAAGATAGTTTGAAGTTATTTACCTGCTCTCTCCACATGCTTGATTAAGTAAATTTGTGTGTTTCAGGAGAGCTGCAAGAACAAATCTAGATACAGTGTCCAAGAGTGACTCATTACTTAAAGTTGCACTGTCCCAATCTGAAAATAAAAATGTTATTAAAATTCAAAAAGGATAAAAATGCTCCTGATCTCATTTTAATAGTTTTAGTAATAAAATAAATTATTTATAAAAGATTTCTAAACACCATGAACAATATGCACTTACTTCGGGTAACAAACTAAATAACATTTGGTTTGAGACCATCACAGGCCATTAAAAACCAGGAAAGAGAGTTAGAAAGTATGTTGGTGGGGGTTAGTTAGGTATTTCAAAAAATATTTTATTTTCCTTTCTTTTATTCTACGTTAGTGTAAGTTCTTTATTTTTCATATGTAGTAAAGTTCATCCACCTCAATTGAGAATGTTTCCTAAACAGAGATTGCTGGAAATGCAAACTTCATTCATTCAACAAGCATTTAGTAAATGCCTATAATGCATACAGCCATTACAATATGCTTTTAGATGACTTTAAACAAAACAAGATAAACAAAATAAAACAAGCTCCAATTTTTTCACTTATTCTTAATCACATTAGCAACTTTTATTTCATTTTTGTGTGAAATATTCCAAGATAATGTTTATAACACTACTCTTCAACTATCTCACAATTCATTCTTTTTTAAAAGAAAAAAATTATTTTAAAAAAGGAAAGCTTAAACTCAATCATTTCATTTAAAAAAGACCATATTTTAAATTGTCAATGTAAGTCCTATTCTTATGCCCCATAATAATATTAAAAGTTAGTCCTCGATTGTCAAAAGGCTGTGCCAGAGGAATATAAGCCATGACAGGTCCTATTCAAGCTGGAAAAGACTTTGAGTATGGTCCAGCAACAGATCATCACCCAAAGACCATTTACCTAGTTCAGAAAAGCTTATTACCAGAAGTCTGGTAACCAGGTAATTCAATATTTTTGATCATTAACTCACAAAGTTATCTAACATATCAAGGAGTTAGGCTCTCCATCCACATTGCTCATACCCAATAAAATTAGTTTATAAAATCAAGTACATTTTTTAAAAACAGCTCAATATTTTTATACTTTAAATATTTCATAAAACATAAACATGATAGATTTTAATATGATCCTGTGGTCAACAAACATTCTGAGTAGGGATGTAGGTATTGATTTTGTCAACCAATTTTGACAACAAATCATTAGTGCATACTGTAGTAAGAGGCTGTTTGTATTATCTAAAATTGCCATCATTTAAACACAGCTTGGTCCTTTGAAAGGCACGACTATTTAATTAACACCAAAACTGAACAAAACACCAAAACTGAGGCATTTCATTTTCCAAGTTTTATAAGTGACAGAGATTATTATCTGAAAAGGTTTTTTTAGAAAGTACTGGGTTCTTTCTAAAGCCTGCATTCATTTCAAACCAAATACTACAGAATGCTTCCCAATGATCAGGTACAACATTTGTTACAATGTATAAAGCTATTCAGCAAACAGGGCTATGTGATGAACTTTTGGTTCATGTAACATTTAAAATGACTACCTTAAAAATTTGACAAACATAAGATCATAACAAAGTGTTATTATAGAAGAAGGGCTAAACACAAAACAAACACAATTAAAAGTATCTAAAACTCCGTTCAGGATTCATTAAAAAAAATGGGGTCTATATAGGAATGAAAAAATTTAAACTAATTTTTCTTTTTCTACTACCTCTCCTGCAATAGTAGGCATTCAAAAGATATTTGTTGAATGAATGAATCAATCAATGAATAGGGTGACACTTACAAAGGCACCATCTGCTGGTTTTTTAAATCTGAATCATTTACATTTCATTTTGCCACTACACACCAAAACAATAGAGCGCAGTAGGTGAAAACCTCTGAATGTGATCTTTATTCATTTTTTTGTTGCAGAAAGGAGAAACTGCAAAGGAACAGAGGAAAACAAAAGGTAGGGTAAGGGAGAATGATGGGGAGAGTGTCAATTGTGGAAATATGATCCTGATCAATCCAGAGATCATTATTTAAAAAGAAAATATGGAAACTAAAGTGTCATGGAAGGAACGCTGTGGAAAAGCTCAAACAATAGGTATTTGCTTAGAAAATTGTGTATAAATTATTTTGATAAAAAATTTGAAAATGCATAACAGCATTCTTTCCAAACAACTTTCCCATACATTACTTCATGTGGTTGCTCCTTATAGTCCTGTGAGATTTTTCTTCTACTGTACACTTAGAGAAATTGAGGCCATAACAGAATACAATGTACAGTCCAAGTTTATACAACTAATTAAAATCAAAGTCAAGACCAGAATCTAGGGATCTATTCTATATTCCATTTATATATTCCAATATATCTATTCTAATGCTGTTTACACTGTACCAAATGTCCAGTGAGAAAAAAGCTGATGTTTAAAGGAATCTTATCATGATCAATCTGAAAAACAGAAACCTTTGTAAAGTAAGTAATGATCCACTAATTTATATTTATGTAACTCTCAACTATTGTATACTAAATTTACCTCAAGTAGTAAATACACATCTCCCAACAGAGGGAGAGCAAGTTAAAATCATTTTATTGATAAATGAATTTGGTATTACAATTTTTGTACTGAAAATGATAATTGTATCACTCTATTAGGTACACATGATATTCAATACTATCAACTACCATAATTACATAGAATTTATTCCATGTCTTTTCTTCATCTTACCTTTACTAATAGCATAATCTTGCATACTGATCCAAAGACTACGAGCAGGCTCTTTTGTACAACCCAATGCTAAGTCAACAAAGACAGCAATTTCAGGCCGTAATTTATAATCAAATGGCTTCTGTTCTTCATTTCCAGAAAGTGCCACTTCTAACAGGCAACTCATACATTTGTCTAAAAACAAATTTGTCATCGTTTAAAATTTTTCAGATTTTCTTATGTTACAAACAAAACTATACCAAACTTTTTCATAAATACAGGTAATTTCAACAAATGAAATCAGGCAAAGTCCTTAAGCAGAGCCAAGGATAAGTATGATATACAGACTAAATGAGAAGTCTTTTCTTTTTTTAGATTTAATTGGATTTCATCATGAAAGGGTAATTCAATAATGATAAATGATAATCCATAATTAAAACGTCATGTCTTTTTATGAGGTATAGGCAAAACCCAATTTATAAACAGACTATGTTCCAAAAATTAGTTTGTAAATGTATTGCTGGGAATGGAGAAGGCAACTTCTCTTTCAAATAATGTCATAATGGGAGTTAGGTTCCCAGGCTAGCCCACAAAAGCGTATTTAGCTTTTTTAGTATTTAGCGTATTTAGTAATTCAACTACTAAAACATTTGCACTAAAAAGAGAAAAATCATACTAACAATTTTATTGAAACATACAAACCATATCAAACAATACTTTAAACAAATAGCATCTTTTCTGTTAGCAATACTAATTTTAAAAAGCAGAAAACAATAGCAATTGAAAGCAAATGTTTTTTTCTGAAATTATTTTGAATGCTACCAAAAGGTCAAATCAATTAGAGAAAACGGAGAAAGCAGATGAGTATTTCTAGCAGTTATGTTTAATTTCACTTCAAAGGGCTTTCCTTTTCCCTTGATTCAGGAATATCACTAGCAGTACTCATATTCTTCAGTCAGTAGGAGGGTCTTTTGGCCCATCATGGAATCTGTATAATCTTTTCATTCGGAAGACAACAAAATTTCCTCAACCTTCAAAGCAAAATTTCTCTTTCAGTCTGTTTTGGAGTTGTTCTCAGCTTTTCTTTCTGACTATAATCACGTCTGGTTTTTTTGTTTTGTTTGGTTTCTTTTTGTGTTTGTTTGGTTAGTTTTGGGGGGCAAAGAATTACAGAATGTTAAAGCTAGAAGAAATCCTGGAAACAATTTAATCTTTTCCTGTATACTCTCCTCTCTAGATTTTCATGGCATTGCTCTCCTTTGGTTCTCTTCCTACCTGTCCAATAGTTCCTTCTAAGTTTTTTCATCCATGTTACATCCAATGACTAAGGATGAACCTCCAACGATCTGTGGGACCTTCTCTCTTCCTCTATATTTCACACTTAGTGATCTCACCAGCTCCCATAGGTCCAACCACTGTCTCTATAGAGAAGAATTCTATACCTATATATTCATCCCTATTCTCTATCCTCAATTCTATTCTCACATCACTGACTGTACTTTGAGTATTTTTTTAAAAAAATGTGTACTCTGTGGGCATCTCAAATTCAATTATGTCCAAAACAGAACTCATTATCTTCCCCTTTGCCCCACTTTCTAATCTTTTACTTCTTTTGAACTTTCCTTTTACTATCCTATTACTATTCCTATTACTTTCCTATTACCATCAAACACCACCATCCTCCCAGTCACTCAGGTTTTCAATCCACTTGTCAACCTAGAAGCCTCACTCTCACTCCCCTCACACTGACTGCCAAATCTTGTCATTTCCACCTTCACAGTATCTCATATATACTCCCCTCCTTTCCACTCACACAGCCACAACCCTAGCTCCAGGCCCTCTTTACCTCTTTCCTAAACCACTGCAACATCTTTCTAATTGGTCTATTGCCTGCCTCAACTCTCTCCCCATTCCAGTCCATCCTCTACATAGCTGAAAAAAGTGATTTTTCTAAAAAGTATGTCTGACCATGGCATTCCCCTACTCTATTAATTTGAATGCTGCCCTATTACTCCTAAGATCAAATAGAAATTCCTCTATTCATCACTGAAAGCTCTTTACAACTCAGTCCCTTCCTATCTTTCCAGTCTTCTTATACTTTACAACCCTTCATCCACTCTACTATCCCACTATGCTGACTTACTTTTACTATTTTTTGCATACAATAAATGTTCCATCTTCCATCTCTGGGCCTTTGTGGTAGTTATTTCCCATGCCTGGAATGGTCTCTTCTCCTCACCCCCACCTCTTAGTTTTTCTGTATTATTTCAAGTCTTAGCTCAACTCCTCTCTTATGAAGGAGGCCTTTTTCAGTCCAAGCTGCTAGTGCCTTCCCTCTGAGATTTCCTCTCATACATTTTTTACTGATTATTTATCCTAATTATTTTCATCTTGTTTTGTCCATTAGCTGTGAGCTCTCCAATGGCAGGGATTGTTTTTAGTTTTCTTGGTACCCACCAGTGCTTAGCACAGTATCTGAAACATAGAAAGTACTGAATAAATGTTTTTTGACCCTCTGAAAAAAGCATCGATGGGAAGGTAGTGACAATAAGGGGGTACATTCCAGAGTCAGTTTAATTGATTTGAACCACAAATTATGCCTGTAAAACAAGCCAGTAATTGAGTATAATCATGTATAAATTACAGATAAGAGTACTTTAGGGCAAAGAGTATATTTAAGTTGCTCTAGGTTAGTTAGTGATAGAGTTCAAGTACAGAAAAATCTTGCTTTAGATATTTGGACTGTTTCACAGACCTCTATGTAAAGTAATCTTTACATAATATGAATTTGCCCTCAGACATGGGGGAAGGGAGGGAGGAAGACAGGAAGGTAGCCTCCAAACCGTGGAGGGAGGGAGCTGGCACACAACTCAAGGGGGGACAGAGAAGCGGACAGAGACGCAAGAGCAAGAGAAAGAATGAACTGGGGCCAGGACCAGCCCCTTGAAGGCCTGGCCAGAACTGAGAAGAAGAATACTCAGGAACAGACACACAGAGCGAGTGGGTGGAGCAGGACGAAGGTGTCCTCTCTCAGTACTGGAGGTCTTAAGCCAAGCCCCCAGTCTGGCACTGGCAGTCTTTCCATGCATGTTTTTCTGCTTTTACTTGGAGGGGTTATTTTTAGGGAGGGAAGGTTAGGTTTTTTTCGGGGGAGTGGGGAAGTGGGAGGCCATGGAGCACCAAGCCAAGGGACAAGACTAGTAAGAGAGCACATCGTACTGTATAGTAAAATTAACATAGGTGTTTTTCTGGAATGCAGATTTCTTTTAGAATTCCTTATGTAAAGTCAAATTTGTGTAATGCAAATTCATATAAAGTGAGAACTATCTGTATATCTAATTCCAAAGTCAGTTTTCTTTCTACTATATCACATTATTCCAGCTGTCTTTATGATAACTTGAAGTTAAGGCCTCAGAATCTTCACTCTACTGTTCTTGGATAATTTTCCATTAGTACTCCAATTAAGACATCACATGATGAGGAAAACCCAACAAAAAAGTACCAACCCAGAAACTGTCATAAACTTCACAGCAGCAGTTTACCTAATTGAGGGATATCCATTTCAACACCATCACTGAACAGTGGTGTTTTCAACCAGTATGCTGTATCTTGCTCCTCAGGAGACCCAGGAGAGCCTTGTAACATGCCCCCGAGACACCGTCCAATGAGGAGAGCAATAGTTCTCTCTAGATCTACAAGCCAAACCCAAGATTGAGCAGGCTGAGGAAGTGGCACTCCAGCTGGGTCAATCAGTTCTGGCCCTCCTAAGGAGAAAATCATCAGTGAATGCTGCTTTATCGTATGTTCCCTGAACCATAAAAGTATGTTGAAATTGTGGTAAACTGAGCAGCATAATGTTTTATCATACTACAATACGCTTTCAAGAAAATTTTTAGTGAACAACACATAAAAGATTGTTTTATTACATAGTATATCACAGCGCATTTGTGAAAAACTAAACAATATAATTAAGCTTTCCTTTTTACATCCCACTAATTTTTATCACGTTTAAAGGAAGCCTTTTAAAAAATTACAATTATTATTATTATCCATTTGTTCATTAATATGACATTTACCTCCAGTCTTAAAGAAATGGTTAATGTTAGTAAATTAAAACAGGTGCTTTTTAAAAAGTCTGAGAGAACAAAGAATAGCTTACATCCTAACCAGCATTTTAATGATTTGTGGATTTGACACTTCATTTCATCATTATTCAAAAGGATATAAAGAATTTAAGAATGAGAACGGACCTTACATATCATCTAGTCCAAATCCTTCATTTTAAAGATAAAGAAACAAAGGCCCTCAAGAGAAAAACTAACTCACATAAAGATCACACAATTTAATTAATATCAGGCTCAGGACAAGAATTTAACTTCTCTCTTAGTCAAGTGCTCTTTCCATAAGACTATACTCCACTTCACTTAAAATATTTCAAATTATACTTTTCCAAAAATTTAACAATATTATTTTAGTAACTTAAAATACCTTAAAAGAAACATATTTATGTACTAGGTTCTAAAGTGAATATTTTGAACTTCAATTACTTTTATAGATTCCAGTAAGTATTTTCATTATATTTATAAGTAAATAAAAGTGAATTCAAATACCTCAAATTAAAATAATATTATCATAAATTACTCAAAAGAAAATAATAGTCTTCTGAACTCTACTCTCTACATATCAAACTAGTATCTCTAAAACAAGTCTCACACATCTTTCATTGATGAATAAACTTCAAAAACTCTATTTCAGCTTATTTGAAAAATGAAAGCATCATAAAATCATGTGTGCAGTAGCAATTTTTCTTCACACATCTTCATTTGCACAAATTATGTGTGCTCCAGGTTGCCTACCTCAGTCTGCAAGCTCTCACAAAACAAAGACCTTAGTGTCCTAAGTAAGAGCAACAACTTTTAATTTACCAACATTACTTGCTCTTTTTCCATATCATTACTAGGGTGAAAATAATTAAGCTTACCATGAAGAGGCCACTGCAACTCTTGATCTTCTAAAAGAGCAGCAGCTGGCAACAGTCTATTAAGGCAATCAAGAGGTGGCAAGAGGTCTAGTAGATAACTCAGCAAAGGCCGAGCCACTGACACTGGCAGTAACAGTAAAGAATTAACAATCTGGCAGAGCATACTGCCAGCAGCAGATACATAAATGACATCTATAAAGGGAAAAATAAAGCAAAATTAAGCAATGATTTGAATTTAATTTAAAAAATATAAGACAGGCCATATTTAGGTCAGATCCTCAGTTCACCTAAACCCATTATGTTGTCTTTATGAGATGGTACCAAGTGCGCGCTTTTCATATTCCTGACACAGGGAAAGAGTAAAAAAACTAATTTTGTTTTCAGAGTATCCAGATCACCTGGATGGAAAAAAAGAAACAGATGAAAAGTTGAGGCAAAAGATCATAAGCCTGTCACAAAGGCAGGATATAGTGAAGATGGGAGACTTCATATTATCCAGACATCTGTTCAAATTCTTTCCCTGTCAAAAGCAGAGAAACTAATAACTTCTTGATTTGTCCTGACTTGTCTTAATGATTAATTCATCCTTTAAAAAAAAAAAGGCAGAGAAACCAACAAGCATAAATTCTAGACAATTCTGATTCTCTTTAATGGAGAGATGGTGGGAACCTTGAGGGAAAATGATCGTTCCTATCCTAGATTTGTAACAATCTACAAGGAAAGTCAGCCTAAGAGGGATGGGAAATACCGAAGAGCTAAATTTTAAAGACAAAAAGGAAAATAATTCTAAAAACAGGAAAAATAGGAGTTGTCTGAAGGTGCCAGGATAGATAACATGGAGAATTCACTCACCACTTTAGATTTTTAAACTACAGTTTTGCAAAAATACCCTGACATAGCTACTTTTGACCAATATTCAAAGGAGGTTATTTTCAACTAGTTTTAAAGGAATTCTTCAAGATTTCATGATAGCAATACAAACTTAAAAAAAAAAAAGATTTACCTAAAATTACTTTGGAAAACAATACTGTTTCAAACTACACATAAAAATCTTAGGTTGTGCTACCTAAAATTAATATTTATGATTTTATATACCCTGACTTCAATTTAAAACTAAGCCTCTCCAACATGTCAATCATGATTTATTAAAGACTTTTCAGAGGTCAAGCTGCTATTACTGAAATATTCTTGCTTCTCTATAACTTTCCATTATTACAAAGAATCTCTAGCAAGAAATTTCACTGTTTCAAAAGGCTCAAGAACAGGAAGAAAACTCTTGATTTAAATACACTAAACCTGAAATTCAATTAGCACAAACCTCTCAGTTTTTCACCAACACTGCCATTCCAAGGACTCTCTTTCAGTAAAGTTGCAGAACGTGAATAGATATCTGTGGCATGAGGTAACAAGAGCTGAAGATGCTTGTGAAGCAATGCCACACTGCTTGAATTCTATAAAGAAGAAACATAACTCTCAGAACTCCAGATACTTAAGTCCTAAGGATACTTATTTGTCACCATCTTCTCAAGAGACAGAGAATCAAATACCTCACTAACACTGTTGATGTGGCAATATGCTAGCAGCTGCTTTTGCAGTGAACAAAGCAGTTCATGAAGATGAGCAGGTTGGCTATTCTCAGATGAAGACGTCCCAAGTAAAAATTTATCACTATTTTTTTCCAGTTCTCCAAATGCTTGATCCTGAAAGACAAAAATAAGGTTGTGTGTGCAAATTAATTAACAAAAGTCATTAATAAACTCAGATTTTTAAAAGGCATGTACATATAGAAAGTGGCTGGGCTAGGGTAGTGGTGGGTAGACAGACCGAGTACAATAATAAAAGAATGATATGAATTGTAAACTATGGAGTCAAAAAGATTAGAGAACACTGAAAGGTCTCAAAGGTATGATCATTGAAATGTTAGTAATCTTTTTTTTTTTTTAAACTCATGAAAATGACAGTTTCCCCAAATGGAGACTGGCTAAAATGTCGGGAAACCAGTGATTTTTCATTAATATCTAAAGAAATTCTAGAATATATTATTTAAATGATTTGAAAAAGGTTCACTAAGTCAATTTTATCATTTTTTTAACAGGGTTACCAGAGAGGGAAATCAGGGAAATACTATACATACAATATACCCGGATTTAATCAAGAATTTTGCAAATCATGATACTTTCTGGAAAAAAACAGAAATATGTGAGCTGATCTGTACTTGGATTATAGTAAATGTGATCTAGTTTAAAAGTAACATCTCAGGGGCAGCAAGGTGGTGCAATGGATAGAGCACTGGGCCTGGAGTCAGGAGGACCTGAGTTCAAATCCGGCCTCAGACACATAACACTCACTAGCTATGTGACTCTGGGCAAGTCAATTAACCCCAACTGCCTCACATTTAAAAAAAAGAAGTAATATTTCTACTATCAGGAATATTGCGAAGGGGAGGAAAAAGAGGAGGGGGAGGGAAAGCACTATGTGAAGTCTTAAGAACACATCTTCCATGCTCATTAGCTGTACCCATTCCTTTCGGCTATATGAGATTTTATTTGTTTTAGTATTTCTAAAAATCTGAAGGAAAAAAATCCACAGGTTAAAGTATCTTTGCATTTAAGACAAAATTATCTTTGCATAAAAGTCAAAAACAGTGTTATTTTATTGTAAGTAAACTAAAAACAACTCACTGTATAAAATCCTAAATTTCTTAGTAAGGTCTTCATTAAAATTTCAGCTAAATGAGTATCTGGATGGCAACTCTGAGTGCTATATGGTTGGTCCGACAGGTTTCCATAGGTGATACATATGGAAGAAACATCAGTAGAATCAGAAGGTGAACTATAACCAAGTAGGGAGGCTACATGGGTATGATCTTGTAAACTTGTCAAAATTATATCCAACTGCATTCTCTAAGGAAAAATGGAATAAAAAAATAATTTGTTAATGCACATTGGAAAAGGAACAAAAATAGCCGATGTAAAAACTACACAAAAAATGTAGCACTTTAAATGGAGTTTTCAAGGATATGTCTATATTCCTCCTTTCTTCCTCTTCACAGTTTTGACCCTCCAGTTAAACAGCTGTCCTTTAATTCCTTGCCTCAATTTCTAGTCATGCTTTTTCAAACTTCCACTCCAGGTGTTCCCACTGCTGCCTTCTGTGTTCTTAGTCACATGTCGCCAAACACTCTCCCAAGGAAAATCAGGCAGTTACCACAGCAAGGCCTCTCCTGCTGTATGGAAAACCTTATATTCTTTCGTGATTTACTATTATCCTCTCCACAAAGGCTCAAAACTGCTCTTCATCATCCTCCATCTCCTACTCTGCTTTAGTCTCTAATGAAGAGATAGATGATCTCCTTTCCAAAGCAAACCTTTCCACTTAACGCTCTCCATGCTGTGATCCTCCTCATCTCCTTGGAGAATTTTCCCCCTTCATCATTTTTTTCTACCTCATCTTCAATCTTTCCTTTTCTACTGACTCCATCCCTACTACCTGCCAACATTCTCAAATCTTCCTCATACTTAAAAAAAAAATCCTTCACTTCACTTAGTAATCTCCCCAAGTCAGTCAATAAACATTAAGCACCTATTATGTGTCAAGCTGTGTTAAATGCCAGGGATACAAAGAAAGGCAAAAGACAGTCCCCCCGCTTTCAAGTACAACAGAGGAGACAACAGGCAATGATATACAAACAAGCTGTAATCAAAATATATTGGAAATAATGAACAGAAGAAACACACTAGAATTAAGGGAGGACTCAAGAGGTAGAAATGAAGAGAGAGAGAATTACAGGCATGAGGGAGAGCCAGTGAAAATGCCCAGAGTTGGAAGACAGAACGTGTTGTCTGAGGAATAGTAAGAAGGCCAGTGTTACTGAATGGAAGTAAGGGGGTGTGGAGGGGTGTAAGAAGATGGTGTGCAAAGGGAGGGAAGAGCACAGGTTATGAAGGACTTTAACATCTGTGAATGCCAAACAGTCAAAGGAGCTTACTGAGTAGGGAGTGATATGGTCAGACCTATACTTCAGGAAGATCACTTTGATGGCTGAGTAGAAGATAGACTGGAGTGGGAAAGACTTGTGGCAAGAAGAGGGGAAGATTTTGGGGAAAGATACTGAGTTCAGTTTTGCACCTGCTGAGTTTAAGATATCCAGTTGGAGATGTCCAATACACAGTTGAAGATGCAAAGCTGGAGGTCAGCAGAAAGTTTAGAGATGGCTAGGTAGATCTGAAAATCATCAGCACAAAGATAATTGAATCCTCAGATGTTTATGAGATCACCATGTAAAATGGTACAGAGGGAGAAAAGGGGCCCAAGAGAGAGGTCTACGGGGCACCCACAGTTACGTGGATGAAGAACCAAGAAAGGAAACCAAGGAATGGTCAGATAGATTAAGAAGAGAGCTAGAAGAGAGTAGCAACATGAAAACCTAAAAAGAAGGGAGCATCAAAGAGAAGCAATTGATTGACCATGTCAAAGGCTAGAGAGAAGTCAAGAAGGATAAGAATTGAAAAAAGGCCATTTTGATTAAATGATGAGGTCAGACGCCAGACTGTAAAAGAGTTAACAGAGTGAGAGAAAAACAATAAATGTCTTTATTTATTGTAGAAAGGCTTCTAAAGCAGTTTAGCCACAAAAGGGAAGAGAGATATGAGAAACACGGATGGACAGAACAATCAACTGAGAATTTTTGGAAGATGGGGAGATATGGACATGTTTGTAAGCAGTAGGGAATCAGGGAATGAGGGGAAGGGAACAAGTATTTGTTAAGAATATACTACGCGTGGGGCAGCTAGGTGGTGCAGTAGAAAGAGCACCGGGCCTGGAGTCAGGAAGACCTGAGTTCAAATCTGGCCTCAGACACATAACACTTACTAGCTGTGTGACCCTGGACAAGTCACTTAACCCCAATTGCCACACACACACACACACACAGAGATGTACTATGCACCAGGCACTTGTACTAAGTGTCTTATGATTATTATCTCAGCCAGTGGACAAGGAGAGATGAAGGTAAGTGAAAGAATGGGGATAATAGAGAGGGCAATCTGCTGGACATGTTAAATCTCTTCTCATCTTTCAGAGCCAAATAGCTAGAAAAAAAAATGTCCCACTTATTCTATTTTCTCACCTTCCACTTACACTTACTTTTCAATACCTTGCAATCTGGCTTCTGACCCCACTACTTAAATGAAATTTCTCTCTCCAAGGTTACCTATCAGGTTAACTGCTAGATCACTGGACCATTTTCTTCTGGGCATTGTCATATCACTTGACTTCCGTGATACTGTTTTCCTGGTTTTCCTCCTATTTCTATGACCAAATCTTCTCAGAAACATTTCCTTACCCTACCCACTAAGTGTGTATTCCACCAAGGCTACACCCTGGGTTTCCTTCTCTGTACTTTTCTTGTGTTATCTCATGTGTTCAAATATCATTTCTAATCTGATGACTTCAAAATCTATATATCTAAAAACATATTCCTTCTCCTAAATTCCTCTAGTCCCATATGCCCAACTGCCTTCTGGACATCATTCAGATATCCCAGACATCTCAAACCCATATCCAAAATAAAACTCATCACATTTCCCAAAATTATCGCTCCTCCAAACTTCCCTATTTCTGTTGCACCGCTACCCTTCTAATCATCCAAGTTCAGCACCTTAGAGTCATTCTTGACTCTCTTCTAACCTTTCTACTTCTTATTTCTAATCAATTAAATCTTAGCAATTTTTGTCCATTTTTGTCAATTACACATCATTTCTCGCATCTTAATCTCATGTACACAGCCTGTACCCTAGGTGAGAATCTCATCACTTCTCATCTGAAATATTTTAAAAGCCTCTTAATTGATCTCTCTTTTTAAGAGAAAAAATTCTCCTTCATTCTCCTAGGGTACAAGTACATAAAACCAACAGCTTCCCCTCTAAAATTTCATCAAATTGGAGCTACATCTATTAGAGTTATTAGCTTAAAAAAGAGAATTCTTATACTTCTTTTTAAACTAAAAAATTAATGATCAAAGATATAGTAGGTTCTCCAATGTGATAAAAATGTTTATGTTAACCACTTTTTTTTCTAAGGTATATGACAAGCAAAATATTCCAATGGACCTATGATCTTACTGATGAAGGTTTCTTCCTCCAATACAGTACAGACTGCACTATTACTGTCCACACTTTCTTTTCTTGTCTGTTTTTCTCTCTAATAAAGGCCACCCTACATACTAGGGAGCCTTCCTCTTACTATTACTATGTCTGTTCTTATTACATGACATTAGTGCAACATTTGAGTTATGCTTGTATGAACTAATGCAAAATAAAGTGAGAACCAAGAGAATTTATACAACCACAATATTTTTAAAACAAATAATTATGAAAAACTCCAGAACTCTCAGCAACACAATGACCAACTATGATTCCAGAGGACTCATAATGAATAACACTATCTAACTCCAGAGATATGATGAACTAAGTGCAGAAGTACAGACTGAGGTGAATAGACATATAGATAGATACACCCACACATGTATACACATATACATACATATATATGCATATAAACAGGGGCGAATGGTAGAATTTTTTTACTTCACTATACATATTTGTAATGAGTTTTGTTTTTCTTGCTTTCTCAAAGGTGGGAAGGAGAGAATTCAAAACTGAAAATAAAATAAAGTTGAATTTTAAAAAATGTTTTAAGAATGTCAATACTCAAAAGAAAAACGACAAATGCTGGAGGGGATATGGAAAATGAGGATATTAATGCACTGCTGGTGGAGCGGTGAACTAGTACAACCATTCAGGAGAACAACTGGGAACTATTTCCAAAGAGCTATAAAACTGCATACCCACTGATCTAGAAATGCCACTACATGGGCTATACTCAGAAAAGATAAAGGCTTTTCAAATAAGTCTTAAAGCAAAAATAATTTAAAGGATGGAAAATTCTTCAAAAGTTTTATATATAGTGTTCATCACAGAAATAAGTGGTTGACTTTAATCAGTTCTTCTAGAAATTTTCAATGTGTTTTTTCATACTACTACTGGACAACTTACACACTGGCCAACACCTACCTGTCCTTTAGACAAGCTTTCCCATCGATCAGGTCCTTGGGGTAAAAGAGAATGCAGTAACTCCATTCGTTCTCTTAAAGGGGGCAATAGCATGGTTGCTCCCACTGACAGAGTTTCAATTACCACCTAGTATTTTAAAAAAAATTAAAAAAGAGAATCTTATCAATTTGTCATTTTTCAATGAATATCTGTGTAGAGTGAATTCAAATAAGATTAAGATACCTAAATCTGCTATCCTACTACATTCAGTTTTGTATCATTAAAATGGAAACCATATCAAGCATATATATGCTTGATTTTAAATATACCTAACATTTCACAAAAGACTTTTTAAAATTCACAATAAAAAAACTCCCCTCTAATGTAATGTCTAAAATGATCCATTTGTATCATTTTGTATCATTAAAAATCTGAGCCTTAACTTCTCGTCTGTAAAATGAGGGAGGCAAATGAGATGATTCCTAAGGTTCTTCCAGTTCTGAAATTCTTATTCTAATCCTGAGGATAACTACAGTGACATTTTAAAAACACTACAAGTTACTGGCTCCTCTGCCTAAAATATATGGCCCTATAATAATTCATAAGTAAGGAAGAAGAATCCATAATTCCTTACCAAGGCTTGTTAAGACTAAATTAAATTCTAGTCCAGTAAAATTTAATGGAAAGTTATGAAAAGTTACAGAAGAGGCTGGAAAAACCACCAAAAAGGACTGCTTCTAGGAAGTGGCAAAGCATCAAAAAAGATAGTCACAAGCAAAGTAGAAGGTATGTCTTAAATGGAATTTGTAAGGAAGCGTAAGTTCCACACACCACACACTCTGAGGAAATCCATTTCTAGGCATCCCTTACTAGGTAGAATAGATCTCCTAGACATATGAAATCCCTAGGTATTTCTAAGTATCATGAAACTATCGCGCAGGGGTGTGTGTGTGTGTGTGTGTGTGTGTGTGTATTGTTTTTGTTCTTAATATTCTATTTTTCCCAATTACATGTAAAAATAAATTTAACGTTGATTATTTTAAATTTAGAGTTCCAAATTCTCTCCCTCCCTCTTTCCCTTCACCTCTCTCTGAGATGGAAAACAATGATACAGATGTGTATATATGTGTATATGTGTGTGTGTGTGTATGTGTGTGTGTGTATATATGTGTGTGTGTGTGTGTATATATATATATATATATATATATTTTTTTTTTTTTCTTATAGCAACTATTCTTACCTCTTGTATTTCATCTGGGACAGAAGAGTCCATTAGCCTAAAGAGCAAATTTCGCAATGGTCCAGCTTGCCTCCCAAGAATACTAGTAGCTACTCCTCCAGCCAGAGCAAGAGCAAGATGATTAGATAGCAACTTCAGGCACAATTTGAGGAAACTGTGATGTTCCCTAAAGGTAAACAAACTGCTATGAGTTTTAAATGCTTTCTTCTGCCTAATTTTTAATGTTTTTCTCCCAGAAAAACTGTGCTAAAGGTATGACGACTACAGTAGTATGAATTCAAATTGTTATTCTCATAAAATTCAAGGAAAAAAATTTCAATATTGTCAGTTATGGCATTTTTAAAGTATATGTTCCATATAATTAGAATAACGGAATTTTAAAAAAATGTAAAACTAAAATTGATATGAATTACCTTGATGAAGGAAAAGGAAGCGGGGGAATCTCACTATTTATTTTATCACAGTATCTCTCAAGAAAGGAACGTAGATGTGAGAAAGTACTCTCTTCAAGATCCACACAATAAGGTCGATGCCATGCAACAACTTGCCTGGAAGATTAAAAAAAAATTCAAATCTATTTTAATATAAATTACAAAAATATGACTGCCTAACAGTTAAATAAAATCTGAAATATTTTGGCTTATAAAAACTGAAGATTTACAGAGAAGTCTTTCTTGGCTGTTGGGATGACAAAGCATTAAAACAAACTAGCAAATAATGGAAACCTACTATATATATGCTCGATTTTAAATATACCTAAGATTTCACAAGATTTTTTTAAAATTCACAATAAAAAAACTCCCCTCTAATGTAATGTCTAAAAATAAATGTCATTTGACTTCAAACTATACTAGCTACATCATAAATTATAATTTTTATAATAATTTGGTACTGCATTTTAATATCTTTATGTCCTTATAAAATGTATGGTGGTCAAAAGATTGATGTATGATGGGTGAAAAAAGAACTTAACACTGGGTTACACTAAACACAAAGAGTAATCCCAAAAGGGAGTTTTCATGGCAACCAAGAAGATTTTTAATGATCTGTTCTGAGAGAGCTGTCTGCTTGTTGACTGATCTGGCATAATGCCTCCTACCTTTGGAAAAAACCTAGAATTCTTCATATAGCAAATATTTTAATATAAATTATGACCAATGTTATTTCAACAAACCACATAGAGCAAATGTACTTGGAAAAAACCTATAAAAAAAGCACTAAAACCAAATAAATGTTTTAAATTTTTTTAAACATAATCCATTTTAGTTTTATCTTCTTTTATGTTATGCTAACATAACTTTTTCTATTAGTATTTTGAGGATGGAAATCTATAAATCAATGTTAAATTAAAAAAATAAAATCTACAACATAGATTCTTGTTTCTGAAACTTGTATATATAGGTAAAACATATGAGCCAACTACTACACTCTACATTTAACTTCCAAAGCAGATACATACAAATTAAAGCATCACTATTAGAAATGCTGAAAAAATATTTCATATAAAGAAACGAGCTTCAAATTATTAATAATTTTGTTTGTTAATTAACAAACATCCACAGTGTTTCAAAACACTAAAACTCATTTACCTGTCCCTGGGAAGAGCTGTCCATGCCAGGCTATGTGATGTTCCAGCTGAAATCTGTTGAATTGCTACTCCATCTAAACCACTAACTTTTTTTGGTTTGGTAATAGGACCCGTGGAATTTCCTTGACCACACTGTCCCATAGAATTATTACCCCAAGCATAAACTTCATTATCTGAAGAAAAATAAATTACAAAGAAAAAAGACATATATGAGTTGACATTTTAAAAATAATAAACATTATATGTACCAAAATGTTTTGATTATTTTACCATGAGAAAGGGCCAAACAGTGACTGTCTCCAATTGAAATATCAACTATTCTTGTAGCTGCCAGTTCTTCAATAAGTTTTGGTCTCAAAGCTGTAGCTTCTGAAGAACCACAACCTAGACAAGCTCCGCAACCCCATGCATAGACCTACAACACAAATAAAAATCTTAAAACAAATAATTCTATGTTTTAAGTTTTTAAATATGATTTTAAAATCACTTAGAATCACATGAAATGGGAATAAAAAATAAACATTTAATATAAAAACTTGTAGGTTAAAATTAAATGCTTATTACTTTATGTGGAAAGCACCACGTGATATATGAGACAGCTCATCAAAATGATACCACACATTTTTCTCATTCTTGTTTAGGTTTTCTCTTTTACTGGATTTGAGTCAAAACTGACAGTTAACATCACACTATCAGAACAATCATTTCAAGTCACTTGTACAGTGGTAATACAACAATTCAAACAGCAACAAAGAAATCCAAATACTCCATTCATCTTTATACGAGAATCTTAGATTGATGCCTGAATTTTGAAAACTGCCAATCAGATACTGTTAGAATGAGATTAGTTTTAAGTGAAACATAACCTTGAAACACTTATCTTGAATACCAAAAAATAACTACAGCTAAACAGTAGAATTATCAGCTATGATAAACTTCAGAAAAGCAAAATTCCCAAACTGACAATGAAAATTATATTCAAACTTTGTATTGGAATAAGCATATTAGTAAATCCAAAATTCAAAAAAGAGCTTTTAAATCAAAAATTATATGAAAATATATTTTCAGACAGCAGTACTGGGTGACTGTCTGCTTAAGCCTTCATTTCACACAGCACAAATTAACTCATTTAAGGTGGATTTTATTCTTGTAAATACACTCATCAGAGCTGCTCCAATCCATTCTAGTCGACTTCAGAGGCCTGCTGAAAAGGTACAGCTTGGCTTTACAAGGTGCACACATACACATACAAGCAACAGAGGAACAACTGTGTGCTCTTTTCCATAAGAATTTACCAATGAGGAAGCAAGAGCTCCAAAACCAGCTCTCTTAAAAAAGAAGAGATTTTAATCTGACAGCTCCTTCAGTCACCTGGCTTTATCCTTTTCCAGTCCCTTGGCACCAAGCAACTTCAGAGAAGCAATGTAAAAAAGTAAAGCAAAGTAAAAAAGACTTGAAAGCAATAAAATCCCTTGAGCACTCAAGGGTTGCAAAATCAAATTCAAAAAGGAAAACAGAGTGGGAATCAGAGTTTCAAATTCTCCACATCACCTGAAACTTACTTAGATAATTATTCCCCTAGTGAAATACTTTGTCACAACAGACACTTAATAAATATTTGATCAAATGGATAAAAGTATTAAATGATTAATTATACTTAAAATGGACATTTACAATTTCGTTTTGATTCGTGTAACTATAACCATTTAGTTATATACTACAAAAAAAGCCACTGAAAAATAAAGACCAAGCTAATTTTTCCCTCTTTTTTGACTTTCAAATATTTCAAAACAATAACAACATAAATTATGATAGCTAGCATTTACAGCACTTTAAAGTTTGCAAAGTGCTTTACAATACTGTCTGATTTTATTCTCATAAAAACTCTCAGAGGTAAGTAGGTACTATTAACTGTCCCCATTTTAAAGATGAGGAAACTGAGACTGGGAGAGTTTAAGTGACCTGTACAGGGTCACACAGCTTTGCTGTTGTTAAGTCATTTCAGTTTTATTGAACTCTTTATGATCCCATTTGGGGCTTTCTTGACAAAGATACTGGAATGGTTTGCCATTTTCTGCTCCAGCTCATTTTACAGAAGAGAAAACTAAGGCAAAAAGGGTCAAGCGATTTGCCCAGGATCACACAGCTTGTAAGTGTTTAAGGTCAGACTTGAACTCAGGAAGAGGAGTCTTCCTGATTCCAAGCCCAGTCCTCTATTCATTGTGCCACATAGCTGCCCAGCTAGCACGAAGCTGAAGTTGAACTCAGGTCTTCCTGACTCCAGGCGCAGACCTTAATCCACTACAACGGCAGAAAATATCTGAATTCTAAAAATTTGTTCCTGTCAGCTGCTGACTCACTTGCTTAAAGAACATTAAATGAAATTCCAATGTAACAAAGAATTGAGAAAGTACCCTGGAATTTATTATGATGGGCTTTTATTTAAAAGTGAGATAAATAAGTGAAGAAATAATCTTAAGCAGAAATCAGATTTCCTAATATCATCCTACCTTTTCACATGAAACAAAAGAGAAGACATTTTGTTAGAAAGTCTGACAACTTGTGATTTTTAAAAGTCTGAAACTTAATTTCTGAGATGATAGGATAAATAGAACATCATGATGCTCTTCCTTTGAAACTACTATTCCAGTCATGTAAATATGCATTTCCTTTGACCTACCTGTCCTGTTGACGTCAAGGCAAGTGAAGACTGGCTCCCAGCACAAACTTTTCGAATAAACATTCCTTGTAAAGCTTCTATAACTTTAGGTTTATATACTCTATTTGTATCACCATGACCAAGTTTGCCTGTGAAAACACAAGTGAAAGAAATTTGCTTCTAAATTACCTGTGCTAGTTCCCCAAGTTCTTTTACCTGTAGTAATAAATACTACTACATTTTTTAAAGCTTCTTCATAATCTGGCTCCAGCCTACCTTTCCAGGTTTACTGCACATTTCTCTCCTTCCAAAATTCTATATTGTAAACAAAATGGACTTCTCTCCTAGTCCTTCTTAATCTTAGTACCTTCTCCAGAAGATCACTTCCAATTTATCCTTTCTATATCTTGTTTATACATACCATTTGCATGTTATCTCCCCCTTTAAAGGGGGAGGGAATCTTTGATGACAGGAACTGTCTTTTGCCTTTTTTTTGTATCCCCTGCAGTTAACACAGTGTCTAGAACATTGCAGGAATTTAATAAATACTTGCTAACTGGCTTGCTATTCCTTATAAATGACATTCCATCTCCCTCTGCATAAGCCATCCTCTAAGCCTAGAATGCACTCTCTCTGTTCCTCTACCTCATGGAATCTCTGACTTTCTTCAAGGCTTATCTTAGGTGCCATCTTCTACAGGAAGCCTATTCTTAATGTTCTCTTCCTCCAGAAGTTACTTTCTATCTTACATATATTTTGTTTTTAATCTTCTATTTACATGTTTTCTTAAAATAGAATGTAACCTACTCACAGCCTCAGATGCTTACTATCTGTATGACCTTGGGCAAGTCACCTTACAATTATAGGCCTCAGTTTCCTCATCTATAAAATAAAAGGTATGAACTAGACAGCTTCTGACATCTTTTCCAGCTCTACAGCAAAGACCTTATGATCCTACGAAGGCAGAGGCTATTTTGGTTTTTATCTTTGTATCCTCAGAAGCTAGAACAGTGCCTGGCATACAGTAGGCACTTAATATTTCATGAATGAATAACTGAACTTGATTTCTTTCCATAGTTCTTCCTCATCCATCTTAAAAGACCCAGAGTTATAAATTAAAGATTCTGACCTATGGAGTAAATGCCTTATTTTGTTACTAGTAAACACAGTAAACTATCATCTTTTCATAGCTTGGGTGCAGAAAATTTGATGAATCAACTCTACAAAATAATTATTATTAAAGCATTTGACTCTCCTTAGCAAGGAAGGTTACAGAATTTGATGGACTGGAGAAATTCAAGAACACAAGCTATCCATCTAGCTAAGTGCAATCTGGGCCAAAGGCCAAAAATTATAAAGATTCCAAGGAATGCTTTTAAATTTTACTTACATTAGGATATTAAGTAGAAATGTAAAGTCCTTCCTTTAAGTATTTTAATTGCTTTCACATAACCTTAAAAGAGCTCAGCATTCTATTTCTAAAAGGAGTTTTTGTTGCTTTTAAATCAGGAAATAGTAGCTACAGAGCCTTTAAAAACATCAACAGAAAGCTTTCATATCACAAATTACCAATGGTCTACTAATGTTGAAATCTAATAGCCTTTTCTCAATCCTGAACCTCAAGGCGGCAACTGACACTGTTGATATCCTGCTCCTCCACAGTACTGTCCTCTCAGGGATTTCATGACACTGATCTCCCTTGGTTCTCCTCCACTCTTTCTAGTCTCCTTTGCTGATTTCCTTATCCATACCCAGTAATTGTGGATGTTCTCCAAGACTCTGTACTGAGCCCTCTTCTTGTTTCACTCTACATTATCTCATTTGGTGATTTCATCGGCTCCCATGGGTTCAATTATCATTTCCACAAAAGTGATTCCCTAGATCTACGAGTCTTTCTCCTGAGCTATAGCCAGGGATCATTAAGTACTTTTTGGACATCTCAAAATGGATGTCCCACAGGCAGCTCAAATCAGACTCATTCATTATCTTTCCCCAAAAATCCTTCCCTCTTTTCTTAACTTTCCTATTACTTTCAAGGACCCCACCCATCCTCTCAATCACCTAGGACTGTGACCTCAGTGTCATCTTCAAGTCCTCTTTGTCACTCACTCCATATATCCAATTAGTTACCAATCTTGTCATTTTTTTACAATCACAACATCCCATTCTCTCTACTCACACAGCCACCATCCTTGTTCAGGCTTTCACCTCTCACCTGCACTGATGCAATATCTTCCTGGCCACTCTGCCTCAAGTCTGTTATTCCAATATATCCTCCATTCAACTGCCAGGTCATACTTCTAAAGCACAAGTCTGACCATGTCAAAACCCTGCTCTGTTAGCTCCAAGAGCTCCCTGTTACCTTTAAGATTAAATGTGAAACCCACTCTTTAGTATTTAAAGCTCTTTGTAACCTGGCCCACCTCTGCCAACCCTTTTAAGTCTTCTTATAATTTAGTCATGTCTCCAATCAAGCTACACAGGCCTGCTTGCCAGCTACCATATGTTCTGTACCTTTACAAAGGTTGTCCTCAATGCCTAGTTGGCTTTGCACCCACACCTCCACCACTGGTTTACAGGTTGTCTCTCCTGTTAGACTGTGAGCTCTTTGAGGACAAGAACTGTTCTTTGGATCCCCCATGTTTAGAATTGTCCCTGGCACACAGTAAGTGTTTAATAAATGTTCGTTGCCTGACTTGATATTTTTCATTCTTGTGGTAGCCATACTTCACATTTTAAATTTATCTATCTAAATTCACAGCTCCAAAACAAACTATGGATACATACAATACAAACAACTGTTTTAGCAAGTTTAATCTCTCAAGAAAATAGCTCAATTTTATGCTGATGTAATTTATTACATACCATTATCTCCTCCTCCAAAAGACCATACAGTTCTTCCATCTTTGGATAAAGCAATTGTGTGTGAACTGCCACAGGAAACCTCTCCAACATTGCTAATGTCTTTTACTAATGTTGGAATGTTTCGGCTATTGCTGTCACCATGACCTTAGGGGATGATGGAAAAAGAAACAATGTTAAATTCACATGTTTTTTCCCCCATCCTGTACTTCACAGAAAGAACATAATTTGAAGAAAAGTAGCTACCCAACATAACAGATTGCAGAGATCACATGTATATTGTATACATTTATGACCTTTTCTCTTTGAAAAACACTTTTTCACAATAAGTGATGTATTTTACTGAAGTGTCTTCAATTTTTTATTAAACTGTTTTGAAGATAACCTGAAAAATGTCTAAACTGATATTCCACATTTAGAATTTTGAAAGCCTATATTGATTATATATCAAACCAAATTAAAATTCATAGCAATGAAAATAATATTCAGATTAGTAGCAAGATGTGTATGCATAACTATATGCCAAATATAAGCAAACACATTATATCTGTCCAAAATTTTAGTTTGAAACTAAAAATTACTTGAGATGTAAAACTTCCTTGATGCTTGATATTCAACTCAAAAAGTTTAGCAGCTATTGCAAGATACTGTGATAAGCACGTTAAGTATAAAAAAATGAAAAAATTCTTTTTCAAGAATCCTTGTTCTCAAAGAGCTTATAATGTAATAGGGGGAATATGACAAGTCAATAATTATGACAAAAGGTAGGATGGGTTAATAGCAAGAATGTGTTAAAAGCAAGTTAAATACAGAATGTTCTGGAAAAATTAGAAGACAGTGACAACTTTCAACTGGGGTCAGATGACATATCAAATATGTAGCACCCTTAGGATTTCAACAAGCCAAGATAAGGGGATCTTAGAATCATAAGCTTTAGAGCTATATATACACAACTTGAGAAATAAAGGAGGTAAGTGTATTTCAGGCAAGGAGGAACTGTATACATGGGGAAGAGAGAATTAAGAACAATATCACAAATTAGACTATTTTAGCAGATCAAATACATGCAGGGGCACAGTATGAAATAAGGCTAGAAAAATATTCTAAAGTCATATTGTGAAAGCCCTTGAATAACATTCTGAAATGTAAATGTTATAAAAACAAAAGAAAGCATAAAAAAACTTATTTGTAAAAATTGTCAACCTAGGTATATATTTTGCTCTACAGTCAGATCAATATATTAGAAACATTATGTTAAAAGTAAAAAAAAATATGTAAATAGTATTAGTCTAAGGAAACTAGTATCATTACTATTTAGTAATTGTAACCTTTCACTTTTGTCTCTTTAATTAATTTTAATTTTAGAATTACCCAATCTTCCAAAATCTCCTTCACCCCACGTATACAATTCACCATCTTCAGTGACAGCAGCACTATGTCTATATCCAGCTGACACACACACAACTACCTGCATTAGACAGAAAAAAAATGATAAACATTGTGTTACCTAAATGTGCCATACCCAGTTTCCCACACAGTAAGTCCTGAACAGTTTTCCTCCCAAAGACTTGGTAGCTATCAATATTTACAAATCAACATGTTTACCTTACAAAATACTATGCCACCAATGAATCAATCCTTTTCTTAGTGATGATAGCCACAACTATTATTATTCACATTTATATAGCAAACCCCTAAGAAAAACTTTGGATAAAGAAAGCTTTACCAACACTCCTCACAAGAGCCCTAGGAGGTAGGTAACGCAAAGATATTATTATCCCATTTTACAATTGAGGAAAAAAAATCTGAGGGGTTAAGTGCTTTCCTGAGCACTATATACCAAGTTAAATATTAGAATTAAATCTTGAAAATTCAGATTTTCAACTGTTGAATGACTTGATATTTTTCATTCTTATGGTAGCCATACTTCCTATTTTATTTACCTATCTAAATTCACAGTTCCCAAACAAACGATGGTTACACATAATACAAACAATTGCTTTAAAAAAATCTAATCTCTCAAGAATTCAATTTTCAATTTGATTTCAATTTTTAAAATTTCATATTTTCTTCATACTATATGATATTATTTTTCTGGGACTAGGTGCAGGTCTGCCTTGAACCTAATTCAAGCTACTACTACTCCACAATTTCAAAATACCACACAGTGAAGGGCAAAATAGTTACATTTTATAACCATGGTAATAACACCCAGAAGCCAGTAACTCCCAGAAGTTAATTCAGTATTTTTAAGAGAGAAGAGAAAATAACTAAGTAAGGTAATAAACCTTGAAAATGCTTTTTCATTCTCATCAGTTTTTAAGTAGATTAGAACATCGGGAGCATGTTGTAATGTAATCCAGGGAACAAAGATACCTCTAAAACATGTGAAAAGATAGTTATCTGTTCAGAGAAACAATAGGGATGTGAAAAGAAGAAAAAATTACTACATATATTATGCCCTTTTGGCATGATATAACTTGCCCTCATTTTAGGGAATGTTATACCACACAGAAAATGCATCAATCTATCATTATATGACATCTTTCCTTCAAATACCTCAATATTTAGTGATTCAATTCAACAAACTACTTTCAAGGCACTATGCTAGGCATGACAGAATTTCTTAAATGGTAATGTTTGACATTATTAACCTGAAAAGGAGAAGTAGAGAAAAAACTGAAAAGAAGAATTTAGGAAAGAAGGTTCCATTTTATTGAAATTTTTTAAATTCTCAGCTAAAGTTGCTGGGAGAAATTTCATTTATCAAGATCCACTGTTTCAAAAGTACTCCTCTGAATGTTTTCAAGGTAAAAAGAGGCCAAAAGAAGAGATAGACACTGCATTGAGAGTGACCTCTCATCAATTCTGCACCCTCCATGAAATTCACTAGGCATACAAATCCATCAAATTATATGTGGGACAAATGTTTTACTTTTAATTAAATTTCAAAAGTAAAACAAAAATTTTAACTAATCATACAAAAATAAACCCCACATAGTGTTTAAGAGATGTTTTTGATAAATAACAAGTAAATTTGATGAAGTGTCTTCAATTCCTTGAAGAGTATGAAAATTCGAATAATTGCTATTCATTGAGAATTATACTTGGATTATATTTATGAAACTGAATAAAAAATACAAGCAACAGACCAAAGAAAAAAGTTTTTCAAAAAGAACATATCAAATAAAAATATACTTAGATATTTTCAATTTATAACAACAAAAGAAATTTTTACATACCTTCCCCTGAAGAGGTCCCTGAATAAGTTTAGGATACTTCTGTGTTGAACTATTTCCATGTCCCAGTTTTCCATAATCACCATCTCCCCAGCTGAAGACTTCACCTTCGGTTGTAAAAGCTAACGTATGCCCATCTGATCCTTTAGAAGATGACACCTTTTTAATAGACCGATGAGGCTCAAATGTTAACTTTTTTAGAGTAGATTGATTGTTGGAATCTCCAAGTCCTAGTCTGCCATAACTACCTTTACCACAGGCTCTCACTGAACCATCCGTAGAAATTACGAAAGTGCAATACTGTCCAGCTTCAATCTAATGAAACAAATAAATAAGGATAATTTTAAATATAGCATTTTTCATATACTATAAATATAATATTGGATTTGAGAGGCAGCATGGAGTACAAAGAAGTCTGGAACGGCGTTAAAAAGACCTAGGGTTCAAGATCTGCTCCTGACACAAACTGTGTGACCAGAGGCAAATTACAACTTCTTAGTGCCCCAGGCACTGCCTAAGAAGAATTACTGTTTGTAATCATTAGATAAATTTGTCCAAAAGGAAACCTTGACACTGCTGAAATAAAAACACTGTACCAAAAACTGTACTGTAAAGTTTTAAAATTGGATTTAGCAAGAAAATCTAAAGGAAATCATTTAAGGCAATGTAATTTATGGCTTCCTGTGTTGTGACTAAATACAAGATATAAAAATGATTACTGATGCCTTTTTCCATGGTGAACTGAACTGTTAAAATTCAAAAGTAACCTACATTTCACCTTTTCAGGCATTAACCAAATCAAGATTAAAGAAAATTACATTTGAAAATTTTATTTAGCCTTCTTTTATGATTGGAGAAAAAAAGAAGGCGGCAATAAATTTTCATATAAATCCCACAATAGTATAGGGGAGTTTGATCTATTATAGTAAATCCTTTTTTAAAGAATATGTTCTGTACCAATATGACAAAAATATATTTTAAGGAAAACCCAATAAAATATGCACAGAGCTCTACTTAGGCTGAAGGATGACTACAGATTTTTTTTTTTAAATATTTTATTTTCTTAATTACATGTAAAAATTTTTAACATTCATTTTTTAAAATTTTGAGTTCCAAATTCCTCCCCTCATTGAGAAGGCAAGCAATTTGATATAGGTTATACATGTGCAATCATGCATAACATATCTCCATAGATTAGTCATGTTGTGAAAGAAGACAGACAAAAAAGAAAGACAATTTTTAAAAGTATGCTTCAATCTGCATTCAGACTCCACCAGTTCTTTCTCTAGAGGTGAATAGCATTTTTCATCATGAGTCCTTTGGAATTATCTTAGATCATTGTGTTGCTAAGAGTGGTTAAGTCATTCACAGTTGATCATCATGGGGCAGCTAGGTGGCGCAATGGACAGAGCACCGGCCCTGGATTCAGGAGAAACTGAGTTCAAATCTGCCCTCAGACACATAACACTTACTAGCTGTGTGACCCTGGGCAAGTGACTTAACCCCATTGCCTAGCCAAAAAAAAAAACAAAAAAACAAAACCATAGTTGATCATCGTATAATACTGCTGTTACCGTGTACAATGTTCTCCTGGTTCTGCTCACCCTGCATCAGTTCATGTATGTCCTTCCAGGTTTTTCTGAAAGTATCATGCTCATCATTTCTTATAGCATAATAGTATTCCATTACCTTCATATACCACTACTTGTTCATCCATTCCCCAACTGACAGGCATGCCCTCAATTTCTAATTCTCTGCCACCACAAAAAAAGCTACTACAAATATTTTTGTACATATATGTCTTTTTCTCTTTTTTAAAAAAAATCTCTTTAGGATACTAGAGGTTTTTTTTTTTTAAGTAAACTAGAAAGATATTTAAAAGCCAATCTAGAAAAAGTCTGTTTCACAGTTCAATTTCATTTTCCTTTATCAAAATGTCAGTTTATTACAACAATCAGCTCAGTATGTAAATAAGAAAATGTAAATCATACGATTTTTTTTTAAACAAAGACTTAAGACCTAGGGAAAACAACAAACATTTCTCATTTCTCTCTTTTAAAATAAAAAAAAAATATGGAAAACATATGAAAAAGAATTAACTAAGATTTGCAGCTTTTTTTTTTACATCACTCTTTTAATGCTACTTTTAAAAAACTTGTTGGCATGAAAACACACACATATAGAGTTTGTAAGTAAAAGAAGTACACAAAGAACTTACTGTCTGTGCATCAGAAAAACTTGGTGCCAATTTAGGTTGTAGTATTTTTTCTTGTGTTCCTTCTACCAACTGATGACTGCTGTTACTGCCCCAAACATAGACTTCACAAGTTTCAGAAACAATGGGTGCATCACTAGTTTGAATGCTATCTGGGCTAGCACATGTTCTTGAGTAATCAGAAGCCATTCTGCAAACCTGTTAAAATTAAAAATATGCAATTTATATTTAACATACTCTCAGAACTCTCTTTAACCAATGCTTTTTGAAATTACTAGGATTTTTTTTCCACTCTCCTCCCAAGACTGAAAAGCTGAAGTGTTCCAAAACAATATCTAAGGCATCCTTTTGACAATCTGAACTATAAAATTTAAAAGGATAAATGGCCACACTACTTTAAATTATAAACCAATAAAAGGTAGTTATAAAGATGGCAGAAATTATTCCAAAGAACTCATATCTTATCTGTCTTCTTTTACTTTCCTTCTAGCTCTGGCACGGGCTTTGTATTAAATTTCAAAATCTAGTCCCCTTGTTTTCCTTACTTAATCATGTAAACCAATAAAATCTTATTTTCAAAAATCAACATAATGGACAACAAGCACAATAGCAAATAAACTGTAGTAGAAAAAGAAACTTAAGGCACAATCTTTAAAAACTACTAGAATATATATTTTAGATATACTTCTAGCAGTAGAACAGGATAATCTTACAGATCTATTGAATACACAGGGTGTTAAACTAAATCAGTGACTCTACTTTTCCATGCTCATAAGAGAACACTTGTTTTACTGAGAGAAAATGGAAGATGGAGAAAAGGAATAATCTTTTAATTTATTTTTACTGCAGGAGCTTACAGAAGAAATCAGGGCAGCAATAAGAATAAGCAATAAGAAAAATTTTTGGAAACCAAAATAATCTACTCACCTACAGCCTAGATTTAGGAATGAGTTATTTGTATGAGTGCTATATATGACATACTACTTGAAGTTAAAATAATTAAGTGAAATGCAATTCAAACACATCATCAGCTTTAGTTCAAGATTTAGTCAGGTTTTATTTACATACCTCTTCAAACAGACACAAAGCTGCCTCATAGAGAGAACACAAACCATCAGATGTTCTAGTTGGTTCCCTCCACTGACTTCGATCAGCAGACGAGCCCTATAATCAAAACATTTTGGCAAATATAATGAGAAGGAAAGCAACACATTTGTTACAGGCTAATTCTACAAAAGAAATTCATTTATTACAGGAAATGTTAACAAGACTATGAGCATTAAAGGCATTAAGGACATTGAGACTGATGCCAACATATTATCTACATTTACAGGCATCTATTAATATGTAACTGTGATATGTTTCAACAGATCTAGCTTAAAACAAAATTCTATAAACTGATTTTAATTAGTCCCACTAATTCCTATATAAAAGGAAAGATCTACTGGAAGAATTATAAACTTAAAAAAACAAGGCTAGGCCTTGCTGTTTGACAGAGCATAGACCCAACAAAGTATCAAATTATCACAGTCCTACTGAGTACTCTACTCACCACAGCTGGTTTTCAAGCTAAGTATTACCTGGCTTCCAGCTTCAAAATAACAGACAATTGGTACCAGGACAATTTTAATCCAACTCTGAGCAGAGGCTACTCTTGCTCCTAGAACAAATATTATGCTATGCAGCTCAAGTTACTTACCATGCCATGAACACTCCCTCTCTCTCTATGTTTTTACCTATTGAATTCCTACATGTTCTTTAAAACATAACTCAAATGGGGCATCAAGGTAGTGCAATGGATAAAGCACCGGCCCTGAAGACAGAAGGACCTGAGTTCAAATCTGGATTCAGACCAAACACTTGACAGTTACTAGCTGTGTGACACTGGGCAAGTCACTTAACCCCAACTGCCTTAAAAAAAAAAAAAAACAAACAACTCAAATGCCACTTACCCCATCAAACCTTCCTTGACCCACCCAAAGTCAGTAACAACTTTCCCCCCGGAACCTTATATAAAACATTGTATTTTGCTAATTATATAAATACAGATGATAGACAAACATCAATCTACTAAATGTCCTCAACTTTGATACCCATGTTCTCACTCCCTAATGCATCACTTTGGATTATAATTATCTGTATCTTTACCTTATCACCGAAACTCTAAGCTCCATAAAAGCCAGAAGAAATGCCTTGTCTAAATTTTCTAATGGGCCCAGAGTCTACCTCAGCGCTCCATAAAAACAAAGTACATGTTTGCTAAATAAATAAATAAATGAATGGATGGATGGATGGATAGATGAATGGATGAATGAATAAATTCTGGCCATAACTATATCAGACAGTCCTTCCCTCTCTTGCCTCAGCTTCAAAGCAGCTGAAAGCCATAGAGATGTTAACTATTTACTCCTTCAACAAAAATCATTTCAAGCACTTTCGGCAAAACTAAAAGATGATTTGAGGAGCACTTTGGTGCTGACATAAGCAACTTTTTAGCAGATTATGCTCAAAAACTATCCTTTGATTAAGAAATAGTAACCCAAGAAATGAATTGTTTTCAATAACCTCTTAAACATCCTATTGGTTTTCTCCAATTCTCCATCCTATGGGATGGGACATTATCATTCAGAAAGCTTTACCTTCAAAGGTCTTTAACATGCTGACTGATGTACAAACATTTTTACTTTTTACACCAAGCCAATTTGATTAAATTGCTCCTTCAAGTATGTTGAAAATGAAACACAATAATGCATGATTTTTGTTCAGATATATTATTTTATCCATTTAGGAAATTAAGCATGAAAACTTCATTAATGCAGAACAACTCCTTAAATGTTATCTGTTGCAAGGAATCATTCAGGATTGCAGTTTTCACGATAGCTGAGCATTAAGTGATTCATATATATTAGTATGAATTATGGATGGAGATCTTTTCTAAAGTTTGTCATACACTTTAATGCTTTTATTTACTATGCAATATATGACTACAAATGCAAGTATAGAGGGTATGGCACTTGAGATGATACTACACTATATAAAGAGTGGATCTCCATCAACAGAGTGCTAAACTGATTACCCAAATACTAGTCAGAAGTTGGCTATCACCAAGGCATAGTAATACATGCTATGTACAGATAAGTAGTTTTCTAAGCTTATGTGTTCAATGTCTATAGCTAAGATATATATCTGCTTAAATTATCTGTTTTGCTTTATTTTTTCCATATTTGACTCTCTTCTTTGTTGCCAGTAGGGTTTCCATTCAGAGTTTCCAATATTACATTAATTTCTGATAGCAACTGTTGATAATACTACTGATTCCCTAACTCATTTTCCTCCTCCTTCTACTTGTTTTTCCCTTGCCTCTTGACCCTTTATCTATCCTCTTCTTTTGTGACCTTTCTGCAGCCTCTGACACTATCAATGATTCTCTTCTCAATATTCTCTCTTCTCTTCATTTTTGTGTCCTCCTACCCATCTGACCATTCCTCAATCAATCTCCTTTGCTAGATCTTCATCCAGGTAACATTCACTAACCATGTGTATTCCAGAGTGCTCTTCCCTGGGTCCTCTTCTCTTCTCCCTCTATACTATTTCACTTGGTGATCTCATCAGCTCCCAAGAATTCAATTATGATCTCTATATTGATGATTCCCAAATACACTTATGCAGCCTTAAAACTTCTCTGCCTTAACCTCTCCAGTCTTGCATCTCAAACTGGATTTCCCATAGATGTCTTAAACTCACCAATGTCCAAAAACTGAATTTATTACCTTTCCCCACAAACTTTCCTTTCTTTCTTTTTTATTACTATTAAGGGTATCGCCATCCTTCCAATCACCTACATTCACAGCCTAGGTATCATTCTCAACTCTTCACTCTTTCTCACCACCCCCCCCCCCAATCTAATCTATTGCCAAAGCCAGTAGATTTTTTTTCTTCATAACATGTCTCATAAACAGCCCCTTTTCTCTCCTCCGACACTACCACCAAGCCTCCTGGTATTCTACCTGCCACAAGTCTCTCCACCCCTATTCCAGTCCATCCTCTGCTCACCTATCAAAGCTATCTTCCTAAAATAAGTCTGATCATGTTATCCTCCCCTATCCCCTGTCACAATAAACTCTAGTGGCTCCCTATCACCTTCAGGATCAAATATAAAATTTATTTGTCATTCAAAGCCCTTTATAACCTGCCTTATACACACATACCTTACACACCTCCCTGCACACCAGCTCTGTGATGCAGTGACACTAAGAGACAAGACATTTTATCTCCCATCTCTATTTCACTGGCCGTCTCCCATGCCTGTGATGCTTTCACCATAGATAGTTCGTTTGGACATTACTGCTTGCATGTTTGTCTCCCCTAGTAGAATGTGAGTTCCTTGAGAACAGGAACTGTTTTTTGCATTTTTTTGAATCCCTAGCACTTAGCACAATGCCTGATACATAGAAGGTGCTTAATGAATGTTGAACTGACCACTCTTCTATTTCCTAGCTCCTCCCCTTCAATGACTGGCTTAGACTCAGTCTTTGACTCTCAAAATCACAAAACATTATAGCTAGAAGAAACTTTAGAGATTACGTAGTCCAAACTTTGATTTCACTGATACAGGGTAAATCCAAGGTGAGCAAACTGTTCTCTATCAAGTGAGCACCTACTCAACCTACTCTACAATTTATAGTCTCAGTGATTGCCTAGAGCATTGAAAGGTTAAGTGATTTGCCCAGGGCCACAAAGCCAGAACATGTTAAACGTGGGACTTGAACCCAGGTCTTCCTATCTCCAAGACCAGCTTTCTTATCTATTATGCCAGGCTGCCTCTTTTAGGTTAGTCATTAAGGATTTTTTTCCTTCCTAGGCATCCTAAAGACAAAGGAAAGATATTCCAGTTTTCTCCCCGTGTTAGGATTTAAGATGTATTTCTATAAGGAAAAAAACTTAGCAAACCCTATACAAGATGAATATATCAGTTGGGAATTAAACAGAAGAGTATGGCATTTCTTTAAAAAAAAAAAAGTGTTAAAACACTCACTAATAACTTATATAGGAAACCTGGATTCAGGTGTTCATTCTGCCACTGACTAGCTGTGTGACCTTGGGCTGGTCACTCGCCCTCTTCTAAGCCTCAGTTTCTTTAACTGTAATATGAGAATAAAAATACTTGATGAATGTACCACACAGTTGTAGAACAGACCAAAAGAGACTATAAAAACGCTGAATACTATAACTGCTCTATAAGCCTTATAAGTTTTGTAATAGTAATAGGCATTGCTAAGGAAAAAACAGAAAAAAGACAATAAAAATATGGAACTTATACATTATTATTAAAATAATACATGCCATTCACCTATTATCCCTAATCAATTTAATCACCCTACCCACACCTTTTACATGCCCAATTCAGTCACCAGCCACTCTAAATAAAGGTCCTCTTCCACTGAATTCTTTGAAAAATATTAAATTCCCCTCCATTCTTAATTTTTTTTCCTGTACAGCACTCCTTCCATTTCCCCCTCATTAAATGAAATCTAAAACCATGCAGATTAGTTTCATTATAAATCCAAGCTACTGAATTTAGCTGGCAGCTGGCCCTCACTACTATTTGGCTATCTTTCTTTCTTTTTTTTCCCCACTTCTTCCAAACCTCTATTTCTACTTCTACCTCCTTCACTCCTCATTTTCTTTGTTTTTTGTTTTTTTTTTTTGGTTGGGCAATGAGGGTTAAGTGACTTGCCCAGTGTCACACAGCTAGTGTTATGTGTCTGAGGCTGGATTTGAACTCAGGTCCTCCTGAATCCAGAGCCAGTGCTCTATCCACTTCACCACCTAGCTGCCCCCATTTTTCATTTTCAAATTGCTTTATTCTTACTTTGCTGGGAATAGTAAAGGCTCTTTCACATAAACTCTTTCATCTCCCCTCCTCCTAGACTCACAAATTCTCAACAAAAAGCATATATTAAGTCCTACGTGCCAGACACAGAACAAATACAAGCAAAAAGAAAGACAGCCCTGCCCTCAAAGAGTTTACATTCTAATAGGGGAAGACAATACATAAATTGAAGTTATGATGGGGCCGGGATGAGGCATAGCAGGAAGGAAGAAGGTAATCACAAAGGAACAAAGTTGAAAAGCAGTCTAGAAAGTTAGGAGCTGAGCCAGGT